ATCTGAGAAAATTGAAGGAGTCGTCGTCGACACCCGTCAGATGTTTGGCATGCTAAATATCTAGACTTGTTGGTGATTCAAAATCATGCTGTGTGAAATGTGTTCCGAATGAAAATAACATCACCAATTACCTACAGCCAATGAGAGCGCAGCATTCACTAGTATAGGTTGGGGAGAAGTTAAAAGCACTTATTTTCGGTCTATTTGGACTTAGGAAATGAAGGAAAAACTAGTGGAAATTTGGCAGCGGCACTAGGCATGGGACGATAACCATTTTCAAAGTTTACCGCGGCTTGGAAAAGTCAAGGTTTTAAAACTTGAAAATAATATGTAATACTGTTCCTAAGGTATGTCTAAAACTTTTTATTTATATATTTTTAGGACAACAGTATCTCCAGCAGAAAAAAAAAAAATCCAAAGATTTAAAGCCGTTAAGATTTTAAGCCATTTTACACCTAAAATTTAACTTCGAAAACTCACCATGCCATTTATGTAAACACTTTAGTGAAGACACAGAACACATATTTTTCTCTTGCAGCGCCGTTCAATCATTTTGGAAAAAAGTACAAGGTTGATAATAAAAAATGTGAATGCTGAAGGTTTGACTTTTACATTACAAGATGTACTATATGGAATTACTAAAGAGTGCTCTACTTTGCACGATTTGATAAATATGATAATTGTGTTAGCCAAATATTTTATTCATAAATGTAGATATTTCAAAACACCTCCATTACTTATTGTATATTTAAAAAAGAACTTAAAATATTTTCAGATGCCCTGGTTAAAATGAAAACAAAAATTGCCTTAAAAATGTTCAATTTATTTGTAGTATATAACTTGCCATAGATGATATATATGTTGTACTTATTTTTTATTTATTTATTTAATTAATTTTTGCGTTTTCCTTTCACTCTTGGATTTATTTTAACTTGAATGTTTTTGTATATTACATTTGTATCTTTGTATATTATTTTGTGTTGAGCCTTCCATATATGACACACAAGTTGTAAAGTTGAATCCCATTTTGTTGTATTTGGATTTTGTATTTTCAATTAAAAAAAAAATAATAAAAATAAAAAAAGATTTTAAGCCATTTTAAATTGTACAGAAATTTGTTTTTGAAACAAATGAAGACACCAGAAGTCAATGATTCATTTGAATTATTTAGCCTGATATGCTTACTGCTCGAAAGTATAATTTTTCAAAAAATAGAATATATTGTTTTAAAGGGGAAAAAAGTTTTTGTTTTTTACCCAGACATTTAAAATAAATATATTTTAGGGCAGTAAGCACAATACCGTGATGTTTTTATCCAAGGTTATCATACCGTCAGAATCTTCTTGACGTCTTATCTTAGCCATTTCACAACCCGGTTGAAATAGGAAAAAGTTTGAGAGAAATTGGTGACTCGCTGCAAAGCCAGGTGAGCAAATTTCTTATTTTTTCTACCCCACTAAAGGATTCTTTCTCATTATGTAGTTAGTAACAAAAGATACACTACATGACCTCGCGTTGTTTCCATGTCATTTCTCACATGGTTTTGGTTGTGAGAGGTACTTTTTGGACCAAGACAAAGTTGTCAGTGGTTCTCCTATTGTAATGTTATGCAGTGTGAAACCTCCTGATCTTGCAGTGTTAACAGTGACAGAACACTACCCCAGATAGTCAGGTAATGTGAAAATCTGTGACACGACTACTTTGAAAATCCTGCAGTCTGAACTGAGGCCTTTACATATAATACTTGCCATTTCAATCGATCGTTTCTCATGCAATACTTAAAATTGTGCATTTGCACAAGGTGATGAAAACCCAGCTACTGTATTAGGCATCCTCTCATGATGTATTGCTTTATTTTATCTCAAACCACAGTTTTCTGCATCATCCAGGGAGACCCCTTAAAAATTTGTCCCAGGCCCTGGTAATTTTAGCAGCGACCTTGCTGCAAAACAACTTTCTTTTTTTAAAGCAACCTCATATTATATCGTCCAAATCTTTTTGTTATCAGTTTACAGTTATTGTTTTGCCCCAGTGTTAACAGTTACTCTAAATATATCACATTTCTCTCGATAAGATACCCGCAGGGCTCGTATCCCATACGTCCCCTGTTAACTGGCACAAAGCTGGCTCTGCACTAATCTGTTTTTCCGGCCAAAAAAACGTCACAGCACATTCAGCAGTGCCTCACAGGCTGCAATCTGACATCAGCTTACTTTTGTTCTTCAAAGAAAACTTCAACCAGAATGACGTCTGACTTGCATGGAGCAGGAGCGAGTCTAAATTTTGCAGGGAAAAAACGACAAATTCAGTTCCATGGTTTTATTAAATTTCACATGCTGGACCTCCCAGAAAAATGCTCCACATTTTAAAGTCAATGGAAAATGATCCGGCAGCACAATAAGCGTCTTTTACCTGCATGTCATTTGAAAACCTGTTGTAAAAACATGCTGAAGAACCAAACTTCGCACACAGGTTTATTTACTTAAGGCAGCAGCGCTGTTGCCTGTAGGGCCAATTGACCTGTGCTGCTCCGCGTCTGTGCACTTCTGACTCTTTGAACCTGTGGTGTTGTTCAGACGGTCCTGGTAAGGAAGTGAGGAGGGAGATCTGGGGGAAATTGGCCTTTACCCGAGGGGACTCAAGAGCTCCATGACACTACGCAGTCATGCTCTGGTTTGAAAACACACAGCGCACTGATGGATTAAGACGGAAGGTGGTGTTTGGGCAGAAGTGCAGGCCAGGTGAAAGAAAGCAAGAACCTTTATAACAAGGGGTGAATGTGTGATTGTATCAACAATTCTGACTGCCAAAACATGAAAAGAAAACACACAATCCCCAAAAAGTCAAATAATAGAAGTTAGAGCACCTGATCTACATGCATAATAGTATGTTTAATTATATTTAATATCCTGATTTAACAGAAGTTTGTAGAACTTTTAATGTGAACTAAAAAAACTCACTAGAATGCAAGTCACTAGAACAAATGCATTAATTGTAATAGTGTTTTGCCTTTTTGTATGGGGGTCAGTTTCTGGCATGTACACTCCAAATAAATTATTTTTGCTTTTTGTTCAAACTACTTATTTAAAAGGTTCTGAAATACAATTCTTAAGATTTTTTTAGACAACGTAATTTTTTTATGTTTAATCCACTTAAATTTGCTAAATTAATCTGGGACAGCATGAAAGAATTGTGTGGAACCCTGCCTTTTACACAGGGTAATTAAAAAAAGATTTTAAAAAATTTAAAGTAAATGCAACAACCCTGAATTTTCAACTTCTGATTATATCTAACTTTTTTTTATCAGAACAGCAATTATTTCTGCCATTTGTGAGTTAATAGGCTTTCTTGAAATTTAGATTTAAAGTCTTGCAAGTCTGAATTTAGATTCCTAAAACTAAGAATTGAGAAATGTAAACTCAGTTTTGTTAAAACCATGCATTTAATAGGGTCTGATCACACTCAATGCGCTTTAACTTTCCAAAAACACGAGGCACACCACAATGAAAAAAAAAAGCAACATGCGCTTTTTTATGTCACTTAGCAACGACTAAATCAGATGCTTATTGTCAGTTGCTCTTGATATTGTTTTAATTGTAATATTTAATAATACTGTGATATTCAAGATTTGTGAAGTCATGAGCTCTGGATAACTTAAAACAGCGATCGCTAGTCTCTCCTTCATCTTTAAAAGTCTCTGTTGTTGTCTTGACAACACAAACACTGCTGTCACCTCAACAGAACCCCCTCCTCTGCTTTCATTAGATTAAAGAATGAAAAGCGATTGACATAATGTGCTTTTTCCGCCCAGGGTTGACTTTTATTTCAACTGCAAGCACACAGCGCTGATCAGACGGAACATGCTTTTACGTTCCAAAAACGAGAGGCGCACCACACTGTCTTTTGTTGACAAAAAAAAAAAAGCTCTGTGTGCTTCATATGTCGCTAAGCAACGACTAAATCAGCTGGGTTTTGTGCGTGAGTCTTGCTGTTGATATTAATATGATTTTAAAATGTAATAATATTGTGATATTCAAGATTCATACAGCTCAGAAAAACTCAAAATCGTAACCACTAGTCTCTACTCAAAACTTTTCAAAAACTTTTTTTAACTCTTAACTCTTAAAACTTTTCAAAAATCTTTGTAGTTGTATTGACAACACAAACACAGCTGTCACCTCAACGGAAACCCCGCCTCTGCTTATATTTGATTGGAGAATGAAAAGTGGTGCAACAGGCGGTTAGGGGCCAATCACACTGTACGCACATTTACATCCGAAAAAATGCAAGGCACACCGAAATGCCTTTTTTGTTGACTAAAAAAGAAGCACAGTGTGCTTTTTATGTCACTAGGCATCGACTGAATCAGCTGCCTATTGTGCAAGAGTCTTTCTGTTTGTACTGTTATAAATTTTAATATTTAATTATATTGTGATATTTAAGATTTGTGAAGTCCTAAAGCTCTGGATAACTCAAAACCGCAACCACTAGTCTCTCTTCTATCTTCAAAAGTCACAAACACTGCTGTCACCTCAACGGAAATCCCTCCACTGCTTTTAATTGATTGGAGAATGAAAGAAATGCAACACTTTTTCCACACAGAGCTGACTTTTTTTAACTGCGAGCACACAATGGCAAAAACGTGAGGCACAGCAGGCGGTTAAAATGCGAGGCGCACAGGGCGCCTTTCAACGCAAAAAGTCTGTTGGGTGTGATAAGCCCCTTAAAACACGAGGCACGCAGGGTGCATAAGCAGCGCGCAAAATGCTCATGGCCGTTAGCAAAACATTGAAACAAGACGCCTCTCTATGCAAAAAGTGCATTCAGTGTGATTGGCCCCTTAGTCTTTATAAGGTCTATCCTGCAATTTTATTTCTTTTATCACTTAATTTACAGCTCAAATTATTGCATGTTGTCTTTTACTGAATGCATTCAATTGTACTGAACCCAGTACAGCCTTAAGTCAAAACCATACAAAGCACACAAAATGCAACCTAAAGTTTAAATTAAATCTTTTTAATTGAAGAACAAAATTTATAAACATTTCTACACAACACATTAGGATAACAGCGCAACCATTGGCACACTGTCTTACGTCCCATCAGGAGCATGTAGATGAAGAACATGCTATTTATAGGACAGTGGTAGACTCTTTTTACCAGTTCCAGAAGAACAAGCGGCTGCCATGCTTAGCCGGTTGTAGTTCAGCCTCAATTGGAGTGTTGGGCTCGGGTCTTGGTCTAGAATGGTAGGGATTTTCAGGCAAGGGTCGAGCGGTTTGCACCTTGGTCACCTGTGGGAGAGGCCAAAAGTGTGATGGACAGCATTTGGATTGAAGAAAAAAAAAATTACACTGAAAATAAATAACTTTGACTCAAAAGGAATTTGCCACATTAAAGTTACACAACATGAATTTTACCAATCGGTAGAGCTGCATGATTCTGGCTAAAATACAGATCACGATTTTCTCACGATTCTGTAGATGTAAAATAAAGGTATGGTAAAAAAAAAAAAACATATGGCACAACCTCGATAATAATATTATGTTTAGGTCTACTGGTTTCTATAAATAATTCTATTCTACTTATAATAATTCTGATGTTGAATTATTATGTTTGAGATATATACTTGCAATCTGTCATATTAGACAATTTTGTTCACTGGTAAAATCAGACATTTGCCATTATCAGATTATATTCAACAATATATAGGCTAGAGTACTTATACTAACATTGTAAACATTTATTTTCATGCACAACTGTGGGTTTGCTATGAAAGAAAAAACATATCAAATGCTTGTCGTAATCATAACTCTAAAATGCAATATGATTATTTAAATGAAGGGCACACTTTCGGTTTCATTCTGACTGCTAAGTGCTTGTTCATACTTCGCGCGCGGCTCCCAAACGATCACTCTGTGCCACAAACTGAATATTATTTACAACTGTATTACCTGTTACTCGCAACATATGTAGGTTCTGTTCACTAAAGTAGACGCACGCGCGTCTATCATTAAGTAAAGCCCTCTCTGTGATAACAGCTCACGGTCAGCAGCACACGTCACGTGTGATTTCCCGATCGCAAAAACATCATTATATGAAGACAAAAATGACATTTTTAGGTGAATTATACCTTATGAATACAGTATGTGACTCATTTAACATCATTTGGAGCTGTCAATGTCACTGAGCAACGTGTGTGAAACAATGAAAAGACTCGTGCAGCCGCCTTTTCTTCTCTCCTGAACTTAAAAAATATGATTGGCAGAATCGTAGAAATGCTGGATTAAGATCGTCTAGGGGGTCGAATCAAGATCGCGATCTTTTAACGATTAATTGTGCAGCTCTACCAATCGGTGTTGATTTTTGAAAGCACCAAAACACGTCCAGAATTTAACAAGACTTTGCCTCTTTTTATTTCTCCACCATAGCTACTAGGCACACCTCTCACTGCTGATTGGCTCAATTAGCAGAAGTGTGTTTTCTGCCAGTCACTACAGTTAGAAACTTTAAAATAAGAAACCAATGAAAATATTGACTCACTTTAGACAGTTCTCCAAGCTCAGGTCTCTTCCATCCCAGTTTGTCCAGCACACAGTTATCAAACTCATGCTGCTGTTTACGGCAGCGGCGCAGCTCACCCATGTTAGAGTAATCCAGACAGGTCCAATAATCTGTGAAGGACTCAGCGCAGTTTCCCTTTATCTGCCTATGGGACACACAATATAAGATTTTTTTTAACATGACACCAGTTCAACTAAATTATTTTGAATTTTGAATTATATGTGACCTGATAACAAAAGGCATTACAGCATTGATGTCACTCAATTTCAGTTAGAGTTGAGCGATAGTCATTTAGTCTTTGCGGATATCATAGAAATGAATGGCAGCAAGTGGCAAAACCTGAATCCTGTCGGTTTTTTACTTACTAAAAACTGATAAATTCAAAAGAAGAATTTGTTAAATGTGTTAAAGGTTAGTCAACCGACTGTCAATTTAATAGACCGTTTTCCCAATCTGTGCCTTCTGTTGCATATTTACATGTTACTCCTGAGGTTTAAACTAAAGGGTTTTTAGGTTTTTATACTTTTGGATCAAAACAACAGATACCCAGCCAGCTATTCACAATATGCCTAATCAATTATGGCATGAGGATGCGTCAGGTTTTTTTTTTTGTTTGTCGTCCTGTGATGAAATTGGCAATCCACATATACTACCGCTCTTAAGTTTAAGAACAGTTCGATTTTTATGCGATTATTTAATATTTTTGAATACTATTTAAAATGTTATTTATTCCTGGGATTTCAAAGCTAAATGTTTAGTGTCATTAATCCAGTCACATGATACTTCAGAAATCTTTCTAATGTTTTGATTTGCGCTATTGTTGTTGCAATTGATGTAGCTAAAATAAGCAGAGTAGATGTTTTTTCAGCTTTCTCTGATAAATAAAAGTTTAGAATAACAGTATTTATCTAAAATAGAAACATTTGCTACGTTATAAATGTCTTTATCACCTTTTTGCTTAATGAATATATTAATTTCTTTAAAAGTATTCATACTATTATTATTATTATTATTATTATTATTACGATTACTAATACTACTACTAATAATACTAACAACAATATTAATAATTAACATTTCTCAAGCAAATCAGCGTACTAAAATGACTTCTGAAAGATCGTGTAACGTAATGATGTAGAGTAATGATGCTAACAATTCAGTTTTGAAATGAGAAGAATAAATTACATTCAAATAGGAACCAGTTATTGTAAATAGTACACATATTTTTAAATCTTACTGTTTTGCTGAACTTTGGATCAAATAAATGCAGGCTCGTTGAGCTAAAGAGATTTCATTAAAAATCTCCCTGTTCTAATACTTTTGACTGGCAGACACAGAGATTTTCCAGTCAAATCATGTGATTTGTATCGTCAAATCTTGTGTTACACACATTGGTAAAAGTCTTTTGTCAATGCTGCATACATATATCAGACATACTGCACCAGTGTTCATTTGAATGTGTTCCAAGACTTATTAAAAGGTGGTTCTACCTTTTTTATTTTAAATGTTGTCAAGCTCTATGTTTTACATGATGATACAAAGAATGACATAATGCAGCCAAAAAACACACAGTATTCTTATACAACATCCAATGGTCCTTGAATAGCCTTAAATAAATTTAATATAATTGAAAACCAGTACTTTGTCAATGACTTTTAAGGAACAAACAATGCTATCTGATTTAATTCCACAAAACAGAAACCAGGATACTGACTAAATGAAAACAGCACTGCACAATGCTTCTTGTGTTGCACCTGCTTACTTCTTCAGTACTGTCTTCAGTCATACTAATATAATATAAATATGCTGATTTGCTGTTGTTTTATGATAATTATTATTGGTCCTAATAAATTGTTTGTAAGAAAATAATGTACATATATATATATATATATATATATATATATATATATATATATATATATATATATATATATATTATAAATGTCTTTATTATTACCTTTGATCAATGTGTCCTTAATTAATAATACATTTTAATGTTACTTTTGTATGATAAGTGTATCACTGATCTGTATTCAGAAATGTTTCTTAAGCAGCAAATTGTCATATTAGAATGATTTCTGAGGAAAGTTCTGCTATGAATGACAGAAATAAATTGAATATCTTCACACTACACATACTACTGTTTTACTGGATATTGATTGAATAAATGCAGTATTGATCAAGTGAAAACATAAAGAAATGTTACTTTTCACCAGTTATGTGAAAATATAAGAAGCTAAGTCAGGACAAAAAGAGAGATACTTTTGGATTTATTGGCATATCAGGTTCTCTGTCATGAGAAAAAAAAACAGATCAAGTTTACCACATTTTATAAATACTACTGTTGTATGATTATAAAAATATTCTAATGATTAAAAATCATCAACAGCAAAACATAATACACAAGATAAAAAGTCAGGAAAAATAAATAAATAAAAGTGCTAAATACCTGAAGAAGTTGACAGCACACTCATTGACTTTCCTCCCTTCTTCCAAACACTTTCTAGGGTCCTTCTCTTCCCACCGGCACAACATGAACTCTTTGCTGGGCTTGTCACATTGAGAGCCAAAGTGATGAGCAGCCGCCTTCAGTACAGCAGACGATACATTCACCTGCACAGAGAACAGAAAAGCCATGTGAACATCCACAACATCTGACAAAATGACGCCGGAAAAAATGCAAACAGTGTACAAAAAGATCCTGGGCACGTATGCAACATAAACTGCATATTAATAACAATTTAAGAACAATGCAGTAAGGCTGAACAACTAAATAAAAAGTAACCAAAATCAACATTCGAAATCTATAATTGATCTAATTTTTCCAGGTAAATTTTTTCTGTTATTTTCCCTACCGTTTCTGGAGTCACGTGACCCTGCTCTGTTAAGGCTAATTTATACTTCTACATCGAAAGCATGGGTATGGTCAAGTGCAGCCTTCATGCGGTCGCATACGCGTTCACCTCTCCAAAAAATGCTACTACAAGTCGACACATTTGCACTACATTGATGATAATTGGAAGCTGTGCCAGAGACGGCATATTTTCCATCATATTAAAATTATTCTTTACAGGTAACACTTTAGAATAACTATCCGTTATAACTAGTTAACAGTCCATTAATAAACGGTTAGTTAATTAGTTAATTATTTATAACTGTGCAGTGCCTTATAGATAGCCAATAATTAACTTACAAGCTGTAAGTTAACAAGTGATAAATGACTTGTTAACGGTATTTCAGTGATTTATAACTATACCTAATTATACCTATAACTGTACCTAATTGGTATTAGTAGATGGTAAACAAACCATGAACAACTGATCTGTAATATGCGAGTTTATATATTAGTTAAGGGTTAGTTATTAGCTTAAGTATGTTATTGGGACGTTATTCTAAAATTGCAACTATTCCTCATTTACTAACAGTTAATAAATTAGGAATAGTTACAACTTTAGAATATCGTCCCAATAACATATATAAACTATTAACTGATACTTAACAAGTCTTTAGTTAGTAATTTACAAATAACTTGTTCATTTTCTCTTACTAATTTATTAGGTATAGTTATAAATCACCAAAATACAGTTAACATGTCATTTATCACTTGTTAACTAACAACTTGTAGGTTATCTATTGGCTATCTATAAGGCACAGTTATAAATAATTAATTAACAAACTATTAACTATTATTTAACAAGTCATTTATAACCTATTAACTTACACTTTATTAATGTACTATTAACTAGTTAAAACGGATAGTTATTCTAAAGTGTTACCAAAGTTATATTATTTAGAAGGCATACTGCTTATTTTGTACTTTTATTATGAAAAACATATAGTTTATTTTGTTTCCAAAAGTGCAAGCTATTTATTTAATATTTTATAAAAAAAGTTTGTTTTAGGCAATGTGTGTTTTAATTTCTGTTGTTCAGCCTTGATGTTCAATAAATCTAATTCACTGTGAACAATGTTGTACTTTGATAGTCATTTGCTGCTTATATGATTTCCTTTACTAAGAATTTGCAAAAAATGCTTTTCTTAAATTATATTATTAAGGAGACTGTCTGAATATCCGAATATAAAACCAACTTTGCCTCTATAAAAAATACTCATAGATAGTAGATAGTGTGTGTTTCTTCCAACTATTTTACAGTCAAGTAATGCACCCTTCATCCAGAAATCTCTTACTTTCAGCCCAACAATGTAGAGTATGTAACTTTGCACAATAACACGTGGCTGTCTAATAATATGCCCGATAAAACATTAGATCTTTTCATGCCAAAAAATGAGTAAAAAACAATATTAATTGCTTTAAATAACAAATAGGTAGGTACTAGGGATGGGAAGATTCATCGATATGTATCGATACGCGGTCATGCGCGTGCACGATGCGAGTGCATCGGTTGAGCAGCAGAAGATGAATGAAATTTTGGAAGCAAATCGAGATGCATCGGTTTTTGCGAGATGCGTCGATTTTTCCGAGATACAGCTTATATTTTTAATATAGAATGTATTTTTTATTTATTAACAAGTGTTGTCAACCTGTTTTTGGCGCATAATTTAATCGACCTACATAAAGTAAGCCTTAGCAACGGATTTGCGGATGTGTACACTTACACTACAACTCAGTGTATCAGGTGTGCGGATGAAGCTAGTGGTGCGCCCTCAGAAAGCGCGAGAAGCAAAACAAACATTTTATTCCTCACTGAGTTTTAAATCTAAAGTATGGCAAGCAACATTATGGATTTAAGGATGGACGACATGACAGGACAGATGCAATTTGCAAAATGTGCCGCGCATCTGTAAAATACGCGGTCAGTACGACTAATCTGAAATCTCACTTGAAGCGGCGCCACGGTGTTGTTGTGAAAGCATCTTCCAGTGTTCCTGCATCCCTGGCTTTCGCACTGCTTCAACCAGCTACAAAAGTGGTGAGAAAAGCATTGCAAGTTTTTTTTTTCCATGCGCAACAGTTTTGTGCGCTCTATGCCAATAACGAATGCTATTGCATTGTTCATCTGCAAAGATATTCAGCCTAGTGTCACGGAGAACGAAGGTTTTAAACACCTCCTCCTGTTAATTTTTATTTAATTATAATAATAATAATAATATTAATAATAATAATGATAAAAATAATGGGTGTCACGGTGGCACAGTGGGTAGTTTGACCACCTCACAGCAATGAAGATTGCTGGTTTGTTATATTTTTATTAGCCTGTTGTTTACAGTGACAGTGATGTTTCAAAGCAGCATAACACTGCTAGTTCACAACCTTAAGTTTTGAATAATCAGTGGCAAAATATCTTTGTAAAACTTGTTTTCATAGTTGAAAAGTTAAATCACAATTCTTGTTGTGCAATGGTAAACCTTTATGTTGAAAGAGTGCAAATATATATATATATATATATATATATATATATATATATATATATATATATATATATATATATATATATATATATATATATATATATATATATATATATATATATATATATATATATATATATATATATATATATTTAATATATATTGCACTTATACATTCTGTTTATCTTGAAAATTCTTAAATAATATGTGCTATATGTTCTAAAATGGCCCTCTACTGTAAACTGACACTCTGGCTCTGAGAGAAGAGCCAGTTTGTAAAAAAAGTCTTGGTTTTGTTTGGTTTATAAATAATCAAACTCATTCAATGGCACAGCATCCTCTTTCACATCATCTCATAAACTTGATCTAATTAGTTAGAGCTGAAATATCGCATCGTATCGTGATATGGGTGTGAATCGTATCGTGTTGCATCGTAATATGTCACAAATGTATCGCTAATATATCGGATCGTATTCTTAGTATCGAGATGCGTATCGGATCGGCATTATAGCCTAGATGCCCAACCCTAGTAGGTACCATGTTTTCGATTACATATATTTTACCTTCAAAGAAAGTTAATGTTATACAATAAACATTTTTTTTTATCACAACAATTGAAACATCCTAAACTGTCTTTTTTTTTTTAATTGGGATGAAACGTTTTTAGAGCTTTAGCAGAATAAAACAATTATAATTTTAAACAAACCTACATCTAATAAATAAAATAAATTGAGAATTGTCAAATAGTCTCTTTTTTCTCTTGCTGTATATGACGAGTAAATTAAAGTAAAAATGCTGAATAAGTGTAAAGATAAATACAAAACTATTAAAACAATTCTTAAAACCCATAGGGTCACTTTAATAATACATGCACGACTGTTAGGCTCGCCATCCGTTTCTTAAAATACAGAACTGTCCCGTATTTGAGAATGAAATTGCTCTTCCCATTTTGAATCAATACGAGACGGGTACTGTCCTGTATTTTTAAATCATTTTTTTAAAGCAACTTTTTATGCACACACATTTTATGAAGATGCCTTATATCCTACTTTTGATTGGGTAATACTTGACATCATCATTAGTTTTATTGGTCTTTGTCCAGTCAGGACTGCAGGTCTTTTAAGCAGAGTCTCTGTCAAGTCTTGACAGAGAGTAATGGCAGATACTTCTCCAGGTAACCCCCCTGTGTCTTAGAAATTGTTATCAAGCCAACTGCACGATTTGTCGGAGAGTGTTCTAAGCTCATGCGGGTCTGTTGTGCGACAACATGCCTCTGGAGAGCAGCATTCCCGCAATGACAGAGCTCACAAAAATCAAAGCCCAAGTCTCTCCCGAAGCAGACACGGTAATGTCAGTGACCCAGTCTGTGAAAATCTAGCTGGAGTCATTTTTTTTATAATTTACTGTTTTCTACATGAAATAAAGAACAGTGTGTAAATAATGAAAATATATGTATTTAATATTAACTGAGTAAAACCATGTCAACAACTGAAATCACAGTAAAATAAATACCTACAATCAAACTTTATCTCGAAATTAGATTTGGACTTGTTTTCACACACTGGGTCACAAATTGTAATTTGTAAACATTCTGTAAATACAATGTAAGTGGATCATATTCCAATGCAATATTATGATTGCTGAGGTTAAGTCAGGCACATAAGCATGAATTTATTACATGAAACATTACATTTAGTACATTAATAAACTACATAATGGCAATTTAAAGAAAATAAACTAGTAAATTGCGACTTTCTATAGTTTTAAATTAGAAATATGATATTTGAAAACTTTACTAGCTAATGTTTGTAACTAGTTTATGTCTGGGCTGTTTCCATGTTTGGATAGTTGTTACTGCAAATAATGACAAATATTTTAGCCATGTTATCAACTTCACCCTTTAAAATTAGGTTTATTAGTATGTTCTCCTCTCCTCTAAGTTAACTCAAGTGTACCACATTGAACATAACATCAGCTACATCAGTGCTGCAGAGTTGTAAAAGAAAGACTGACTGCATCTGTTTACACAGATTTCAATAAAAGACTATTTAATTTAGTTTAATGTATAAGTGTTCATACTTTCCTGAAAACATATTTTAAGTTGCGATTTACCACCACTAACACGCTATTATTCCCTTATTTGTTGTAATAAAAAAGTTAAATGAAACCCTAACGACTGTTGACGTTGACATTGACATATAGAGAATGCCATTTACACAATAACATATAGCTGTCTAATAATAGGCCTGCTAAAACAGAAATTGCCAAGGTTATTGTGATTTATATACATTATGTTAGCTTTAGAAACACGCACACATATATAACGTTACTACTACAAAAGAATATGACACTTAGCAGGCTGCTAAAAAGACAGACGTAACCTAACAAAATAGCGCTTTAAGTCCCTGCCTAAACATATATATTTTGTATGTTTCCCAACCAGTTACGTTACAATACTAGCTGAAAACATTGAAGTTACGTTAACTTCACATGTTAACGTTAGCAGTGACTGCTGGCAGCAGCAGGCTAACTAACACCTACCAGTTTTCCTTTCTTTCAAATAGACGTAACGTTACCTCTTTGACGTTTAATTCCTCCAACGTCGGAATCTCAACCACACCGGGCATGGTGCGAGTTTAATGCACCAAAACTAACCACAATTATTTTAACAGTCCACACTTTAAAACGGGTCAATGTCCTCGTCGGCAGTAGGACGAGGCCGCGCAGAGAAGGTCAGTTTACTGCGCATGTACGTAGAATTCTTTGTCGCGTTTCTACGACGTCATCTGTGTGGAAACTGACTCTTCTTGGCTCAAAACACGACGCAAAGTTATATCAGTACATTTCTGCCGATTTCTAAAGCCTATTTTATTCGTGGCATAATTAATAATCACTTGTTCTATTCTTTTATGCATTCGTGACAATAGTATCGGTTTCAGAGGGTTTTTTTTCTATTAAATATCGAGTATCAGTTATGTTTCCATGGAAACAGTATCACGCTGTTGCTTTGCTGTAGGTCAACATGGAGCTCATGGGTAGCAGTTATGACGGAGATTATAATAATGGAAGGTAAATTTTTTTTAAATGAAAGTTTTTAATTTTGACAAAGTTTGAACGTATAACAATTGTGTATCATTTATGTGAGTAACTTATCGTAATTGTATCATGTAGTATCTTAAGCCCTTTTCGCGTGGTCAAGTTCCTATGCCATGAGCATAATCATGGCATACAAAAAACAAACTAAATAAATATATAAATAATTCAACTGAAATACACATAAGTCATAGAACATTCAAAAAATAAAGTAATATTGGCAGGTAAGTTACTAATTAACGTAATTCGACGTATTTGTAACAACAGCTAAAGTTAACAGCTGTAAATGATTTGATATGAAAGCCATATCAAGTAGTATTTCATGCAGTTTATGCATTCCTATTTCCTGTGCAATAAATGTCAAATTGCAGTAAACTTAATAATTTATATATTAAATATATAAAGACTTAAATATATTTTACAATGAGTCCTGCTTTCCCTTTTCTTTATTTGTTTTGTAGTATTGTTACTGAGCAAAACACAACACACATTTTACTATGATTTACACACACTAAAATATTACTCAGATAGAAATAACAATAGATTATATAACTAAAAATGTTGTTAGGCATTTTTAGTACAAGAATCCTTTGATTTTTTATATTAAAGGTCATTTTAAGGTCACAGCACTAAAATATAAATTGTAATGTTAAATATTAATACTTTCATAAACTACTAGTTTTTTATAATTTCAAATATAACAAAACTCTGCATGATTATTTTTTATACATTAAAAAGTACAAGACAGAATATGATGTTGTTTATTTGTACATGAATACATGTATTTTATATCTTATGCTGAGTTTAACATTATTTCACCCATTTCACATTTTTATGTTATTTGAGACATGAAAATAGACGTTTTACTTGCAATTTTTATGCTTTCTGTGTTTAAAAAATCACTTTATCAAATTTAAAGTTGATGATTGTGATCCCTGAAATTCGATCTTAATTTGATAAATATATACACTTGCCGGCCACTTTATTAGGTACATCTGTCTGAGTATTTCAGAAACTGTTAATCTACTGCGATTTTCATGCACAACCATTTCTAGGGTTTACAGAGAATGGTCCGAAAAGAGAAAATATCTATTGAGCGGCAGTTCTGTGGACGCCAATGCGTTGTTAATGCCAGAGGTCAGAGGAAAAGCCAGACTTGTTTGAGCTGATAAAAAGGCAACAGAAACTTAAATAACTACTTGTTACAACCAAGCAATGCAGAAGAGCATCTTAGTACAACACATTGAACTTTGAGGTGCCATTTCTGTCATCTAAGAACAGGAAACTGAGGCTACAATTTGCACAGACTCACCAAAATTGGACAATATAAGATTCGAAAAACCTTGCCTGGTCAAATTAGTCTCTATTTCTGCTGCGACATTCGCGTGGTAGGGTCAGAATTTGGCATCAACAACATGAAAGCGTGGATCCATCCTGCCTTGTATCAACAGTTAGGCTGGTAGTGGTGGTGTAATAGTGTGGGGGATATTATCTTGGCACACTTTGGGCCCTTTAGTACCAATTGAACATTGTGTCAACACCACAACCTACCTGAGTACTACTGCTAACCATGTCCAACGCATTATGACCACAGTGTACCTTATATCTTCTGATGGCTACTTCCAGCAGAATAACGCGCCATGTCATAAATCGTGAACCATCTCAGACTGATTTCTTGAACATGACAATGAGTTCACTGTACTCAAATGGCCTTTACAGTCACCTGACTCAATCCAATCGAGCATCTTTGGGATGTGGTGGAACAGGAGATTCACATCATAGATGTGTAGCTGACAAATCTGCAGCAACTGCGTGGTGCTATCATGTGAATATGGACCAAAATCTCTTCAGACATCTGTTGGGTACTGGTAAGGTGTACCTAATATAGTGGCTGGTGAGTGTGTGTGTGTGTGTCTATATATATATATATATATATATATATATATATATATATATATATATATATATATATATATATATAAAACGCACCTCATTAACTCTCATCATGTTATCTTTCAAAGGATGGAGGGGACAGGCGAATACACAATCCCCACTCACACCAGATATGTTGGAGAAATGAAAGATGGCATGTTCCATGGAAAAGGAGTGTTGCATTTCCCCAATGGAAGCAAATATGAAGGGACTTGGGAGAAAGGAATATGCAAAGAGGTATTGCTCTCCTCTTAAACTACCTGTTGTTTTTTGTTGTTGTAGTATAATGTTGCAGTGTAAAAAGCTAAAAGTAGTGTGTAGTGGTGCTATTTGCAAAACATCTGCAATGTTTCCAAGATCAAAGTTCACAACAAATAGTTTTTGTTTGTCTAAAGAAACAACTAATAATAATTGCCTGAAATTAACTGCCAGTAGTTCTAGCTTTGATTCCTGCACAAACCTACATAGGATTGTAACAAATTTGCGTAATGCTCTCTAATGATCCTATAACTTTCCTTTAGCTCTTTACACTGTAGTTATAGCTGAGGGCTGGAAGAGTTTGGTTTGTTTTATCATCATTTTGTGAAAGCAAATGCACATTACTATTATAGCTCAAGGTCTCACACTTGAATTAATATGGCAAAACTGACATCATCATTGTTCATTTTGTTGTGTTTGTCGATGAGGAAGTAGTTGAAACTCTGATTTGGAAATGGATATTTTTTTTCTGACTGTTGTCAAAAGCTGTAGACAGGTTGGACTAATGACCAATCAGAGCAGAGTAGGCTTTCAGAAGGGAGGGATTTAAAGGTAAACGTTGGTTATTCTGACCATTATTTTTTTTCTAAATGAAGAAAAAAGGCTCTAAATAAAATAAACATCTTTATTTGACATTTGGAAGTAACATTATCAGGTTGTACAGAATAAGAACCCATAGCTTATCAATGTTATGAATTACTCTGGTTACCTATATTACACATCTTCATGATATATTGAGTGTATTTGATCACAGATAACATTTTGTTTGAGATTTTATGTTCAAACTAAGCAATGATATTTTTAGGTTGTCCTAAAAACATCATATATTTCCCTCCTTTTGTAGGGAAAGTATACATTTTCTGATGGCCTGAAGTATAAAGAGACTGACTGGGATTACTGTGATGGCAAAGACAGGCGTTTCTACTCTGAGAGATGTAATGGCCTCAAACCAGCAGGTATAAAGTCTAGCATTACTGGACTCATTGTGTGTGATCATTCTTAGCTAAGCAGCACAAATCTTACCCCTTCTTTGAACAGGGGAATCCCAGTTAACCGATCCAGACCCCCCGCGTGTTATTCCTGATGGATGCTATGACACTGGTGATGGCTTTTATGATCCCAATACAAGAGTCGTCAAAGGCTATGATGGCAATTTTCTCAGGAATGCAGGTGAGCGGAAGCATTATGCAGTGCCAAAGCAATTTAGTCTCCGAGGATCCATTCACAATTTTTCCATGGAATCCCAATATATTTCTTTGTCTAATCCATTCCTCAATCCATAATCTGAAGTTCTGGCAAACCTTTGCCTTTGGTCTTTCCACCTGGAACACATAAGACCACAAGCATTAGAGTGGCATAAATGGATTAGCTAAATGCATGTAGATATAGTGTAAGGCTGGAGATTGAGCAGCGAGATTGCAAGATAACTCATCTGTAGGTCTGTTCTCTTGGCCAGACATGCCTCTGTGCTGTAGTCATTTGAATTGTTTTCCAAGGAAAATTTAAAACACATTTTCCAGTGCCCAATGTCGGATCTCTGATTTGAGATGAATTCATTATGTCAGCCTTATAGATATGAGGCCAGGACCCCTATAAGCACAAAACCAAGCACTGATTAGAAAACATTGCGGAATTAGTAATCCTTGTGTTACCTGAATTCATTTAAAGAACACAGTTAAAGTACTGTATATACTACGGTATTTAAAGAAAACTAAATCTTTTATCTGTATTCATTACCCTTCTTAAGAAGATTTATGCTTTAATCTCACTAAGAAACAATCGAAAAATGTTACAAAAGCTTTCTTTAAAAAAAATAGTTTAAAAGTTAATGTTGAGAACTCAATAACAACAAAAATATGCAGTGACTTATAATGGCAACGGCGCATAATAATGTGTTATGTTGCTCTCTAAAAAGCTATTTAAGATCTAAGTATTGTAGCATTGGCCAGGCATATATTGTTTCACTATATTGTCTGTGATTTCTTAAGATATAATATGTCAAACAGTAACAATATATTCAGTTTTTTTATTAATATTGTGTCATACATTCATCTTTGGTCGTTGTGCTTGTGTAGCCCCATATCCAGATATCTGCTTGGAACTTTGCTTGTAAATTATTTGGCAGTTTGCTTTATTTTCCAGTATTGTGAGATGTATCATTTCATAAACACTGTCTAGAGCAACTATATGCAACACAATCTGCAGCCGCACCTTTCGTCACAGTCTGATTGTGTGCTTGCATGTCTATTTCATACTTCTACAGTTACTATAACATAGGAAGACAGAAACATCCTGAACAGATGTCAAGATAGTTACGTATTGAGAAATCAACACAGATTTTACAAAGCAGAGCTCATAACAGAGTAAATTGGATACTGTTTATTGATATTGTTAAGAAACAGAAACAGTGCATGGTAAATGAATAGTATGTGGTGATACTAATAAAATGTGTCTTAAGTTTTTTTTTTCTTATGAGCCACCGTGAGGCCCACACAGATTTCTCTCCTACAAAATTTTAAACGTCCATAGAATTAAAACACCCATCATTCACAAAGTGTTATATATAGGGCCAGTCTGTTAGTGTTGAAGACAATTAGATAACACACTAATATATCATTCTCAATGTTCTGATATTAGACATCCACCATAGGGACACCGATATGTGTATTTATGTCTTCATATTGGAGTTATTTGTATTACTTAGCTATTTATACACATTAACATGTGTCAGACACTTCATGCCTCTATTCAAGGTTAGCAAACAGACTGTCATTTCTGCGTCAATGTGGTACATGTTCAGTCTTCAGATCAGATCATTTCCAGGCCTCTGGGATTACATCTTTACCACATGTGGCTGGAAAGTGAGAGCAAACATCAGAGACCGAGACTTACACAAAAGCATAGACCTGTCACATTAGACCACATCCTGGTTATGACTCCCATAGCCCACAAGCCCACCCGCTTCTAAACGAGTCCACATCACAGACTATATTTGCATTTACATTCATGTTCTAAGTGGAAGACTTCTAACCAAAGCCACTTATAATAAAGTGAATACGATGGAAGTCATAGTTACCAGTTGTGACTGCTCAACATAGCAACATTGACTGAAACTTTAAAGTAATGGTTTCCCAATACACAACATTTTTGTCACTATAAACCCATTTAATACAAGCCTTGAATATCTTTTTTATTTCTGTTCCTTTAATCCCTGGGTCTAATTTGTGGGCTATTTATTTGTGGGTTTTCTAACCAATGGCAATAGAGTAACAAGCCTACCATGATGTACCATGGAGCAGGAATTCCTATTTTATCGTACATCTGCTCTTTAATATATGGCAACTCTTACATTGGAGTATTACAGTATGGAATATTGTGCCTCCTATGGATTTATTTTTATCACCTGGAGGTGACGGTACATTTGTCAAAATGGGTGTGAAGACAGAATTTATTGCCAGTAGCTTCCCTCCAGGATGGAGGATCACAGAGGGCGCAGACGCTGAAAAGGCATGCGAAGAGGAACCACGTTCCCTGCGGGAGGATGTTTTTGGGAGGAGAGGAAAGAGGGACAAGTCCAACTACAGTTGTGGAGCAGTGAAACAGCAGGATCCAGGAGACAGGCATGATCGGGGGTGGCAATCCCAAGCAGCAACAGCAGACCAGGCTGGACAGGAAGGCCTGCGGAAATGCCCAGGCAGTAAGCCAACTCTAAAGCTAGTTGGAGAGCACCAGAAAAGCAGATGGAAGGAAGCCCTGAAGAATCTTAACAGAGTGGTCATATCAAATCAGAGAGTGTGGCTTATTACAAGTGGTTGCTGGAGTATCATGTAGGACAGCCCCTTGAGATGGGCATGTGGCTGAGCCGGTCTCCTTCAAATGTCCTATTCTGCCCAAGTCGACCAACTTCTTCTCCTCTTTGTCCTCAGTCTAAACACCAAAATGCAGTAACTGTATACTTCATATAATAACTACTATTATGAAATATACTTCATAATATAAAGCTATAAGGCTTATCTTTTCAAAAAAAAAATTTATATGACCATAAAACATTTAAATGACCAAAATAACAGCAAATACATAGTTAGTGGTGTTTGTTCTTCTCTATTGTCTGTTTCAAACCACTAACCCCAAATATTCAACACTGGCATGAAACTGTTTATGTAGCAGAGATGAGTGGTTCCTTAAATCTTGCAGCTTGTCAAGGAGATGTGTACTGTTATATTTCGACCACACTAGAATACACTGCAAAAGTTTGCCCAAACTTTTGCTTTGATTTGCAGTCTGGAAGAATCAATGCTACTTGCCAAAATTCAGAGCCACTCTACAGCAGAATCACATAGTTTATGATGAGCACAAGCTCCCCCCTTCTTTTTAGCTTCAGACAATAATTCCATCCAGTTGCACAATATATATTTTAGAACATATTGTAGTGTATAACATGCCTTATTAACTTATGTCACTTACCTTAAACTCCCACTGCAATCTTTATATGTCCACATCACTTGGCTTACTTTCTCGCAACACAAAACAGGGGCATTTTAACATGTACCTGCAATCAGCTCATGTACATTGATGTTTGTTTTCATCAGCCAAGAGTATCCTAAATACAAGTCAAGCTTTTGCTTGAGTTTGCCATGAAAAGTAAGTTTGCATGAAAACCTGGTGTCTAAACTGGATGTAATAAATACAATAAAATGTATTATAAACGATGATGCCCATACATTTGATGCACTGCTTGCTTCTGGTTAGACAATATTAGCTCTTACAGGCACAACCTAAAAACACAGGATGAAAAGTGTAGATTTGTTTCTTCAATGTAGACAGTTGTTTAGTGTAAGATTGTCCATTTTTTGTATATGATGCCTAGTGTTTTAAAAAGTTGTGACTAAAGTGATATAACTTTCACCTCTTATAGACTTGGGAATGGGTTCTTTAGATTTGGACCATTTAGTCAACAATTAGCCATCAACACCCTTGCATCAGATGGCATCTTATATGAGCACGACCTATATTTTGAATGATGTCAAAAACTATTTTAATTAATAGTCAAATCATTTCATCTCCTTATTAACTTACGATTATAATGTCATCAGTTTAATATCATGATGATTCACTATGCACTGCATCCTCAATTTTTTAATTTTACCTCACGTGTACAATTATCTCATACCAGTAGTTAAATATATGCTTTTTGAATGTATCAAATAAGTGATAACATGTTCAGCATTGTTTTACTGCTCTGTGACTGAGACAGGTGGAGCTTTTTACAGTGTGCGCTTAGCAGTGACATAAGGGTTTGACTGTATCTTCAATGCCAGTTGAAGACTGTCCCAGCACAATTACAACCGGCAAAATGTGCCCAGATTTAGGCTTTTAAAGTAGTTGGAGCATTTTAAATTACTCGCATACATGTCTAGCCTCCCTTGCCATAGTATGTTAAAGTGATAAATGTCATGAGAAAACGGTAAGTACATCGTAAAAGGTTATGGTCGGTTACTAAACTGATAACGAATTGTCCTCTTCCTAATCACGATGCATCAAAGAAACAATTAATTTTGACACCCCTACTCCTTATCATTACACTTTTCTCCTTTAGCTGATTCCTAGACTGGAGGAAAGCATAAGGTTTGCCTGGAAGACTGTTGTAAGAGATTCCTTCCTGATTGGGAAGGCTTTGAAACATGAACGGGGGTGGCACTAAAGCCTCTGTTATTACATAGAACATTTGTAATGAGCCTTTACCCATCAGAGGTTGCAGGATTAGAGGTTTTAGGATCTACTTAGGGTCCCTTGGTCGTGTTTAACTACCTGAAACCAAACAGGCAGGCTTTCAGTATATGATGGAATTGGAAATCCTGTTTACAACCAGCTTTAATAACATTGTAAAAGAGCAAAGAAGGCTGATACACTCCATTTACAGTAATTAAATTTGTTTGACCTGTCAAGACATAATAATGTATAGACCATATTTAGAACTATGCACTGTTTATTTTCATAGCACTAAGTGACTTTTGTAGTTTTCTAATTGCTCTTGCACACATCTTCACCATGTGCGTGGTTGCCAGGGGGTTGTTATTAGATTGCTGAAGTGTTCTGGCTGGATTTTAGGGCATTAATATAAGAGCTAGGTAGTTATTTACTGTCTGCAAGTGTGAGGGAGATTTCGGCTGTTTATTATCAGCTAGGCACAAACTTTAGTTATCATGTGAGGATGTAATTTATATTCAGTTAAATTCTAAATGTTGTTGGCATATATTGGTTTGTCCTAATATATATTTGTAGAATCGAGTTTATGATTTTTAAATATTAACACTGACTTTTGTCTGGCTTAAGTTCCTGTTGCTTGGTAACTATATAAACTTGTGCCAGAAGCTAATCCCATATGTTTTGCAGGGGTTTCCTGCTTTTTGCTAAAGCTTTGAGTTAATAAAAAAAATCTCACCACAAATGAAAAAGTCACTTTGTAAGAAAACATCAAACTTTGACAGGAAGTGATCATCTACCTGGCAGGGATACACTTGCGCAGCTGCTTGAGCCTTAGAAGATCCGAAAGCCATTAATTTAAAGCATGGCTCTGTTTGGAAGGAAGCACTTTTCCATTTGATTGTATTTTAGGGATAAAGATAAACACCTTTTAACAAGGCGCCATTACTGGTTCCCTTCTGACTTCTGGGCTTTGATTGTGAAAGATCATATTTACCACCTGAACGAGAGCTCAAAATGAGCATGAGGAAAGGAGGATCAATTAAATGAAGGAAGATTGTTACTTTAAAGTCTGTGAACAAAATACATGCTCAATATATCTCAATTCAATTTTAGAAAAAAAAACAGAAAGTATTGTTAAAGTAAAATCAGACTTTCACATTAGTTGAAAAGACTAGAAAAAAGGAATAAGTCGATATGGGTAAAGTCTTAATTTTAAAAGGCCAAGAATAAGAAACTACACATTAGTAATGAAAACAAATAGATGGTTATATGGGTTACGGAAATTCAGAGAGATTGATTTCAGCAGACTTTTAGCAAGTAGAGGGCTAAGACAGCTTTTTAAACAGAGTTCCCACAATGAATGTGCAATTGTGAATGACTTATGAATGAATGACTATTCCAGTTATTTATGGTTACTGGACATAGCAGCAACTCTAAAGATTTACATTTAAAAAATGTAATAGACAAAATAGGTATGTGGTTAAAATAGCACATTAATGAAAATCCCCAGGATTGTGGAAAACCTGTCCAAACTAAGGGACCTTAAGGACTTCTACTTATGAGGATCCTTAAGAAATTTGTGTCTACAGTTTCAAAAACCATGGTTGGTGCAGTAAAACGTTGGTTGATTTATTACCATCATTTAAGAAAACTTTTGTTTTGTTTTGATTTTTGTAGCAAAACCATGTTTAATTTTCAAGAGGAGTAATTTGGCACAAAGATGTTAAACAACTAATTCTATTCATTCATTCATTTTCTTGTCGGCCTAGTCCCTTTATTAATCCGGGGTCACCACAGCGGAATGAACCGCCAACTTATCCAGCTAGTTTTTACGTAACGGATGCCCTTCCAGCTGCAACCCATCTCTGGGAAACATTCACACACACTCATACACTACGGACAATTTAGCCTACCCAATTCACCTGTACCGCATGTCTTTGGGCTGTGGGGGAAACCGGAGCACCCGGAGGAAACCCACGCGAAGGCAGGGAGAACATGCAAACTCCACATAGAAACGCCAACTGAGCCGAGGTTCGATCCAGCGACCTTCTTGCTGTGAGGCGACAGCACTACCTACTGCTCCACTACCTCGCCCATAACTAATTTTACCATAGGAATAATATTTAGGTTGTTGTGCTTTTTTCCTTTAAGTTATAAGGTAAACGTTTGGTATAGTAGGCCATATATGTGTGGTCCCACATTAAAAAAATACTAAAGTAATTTATAGTAAATATTATAGTGTTTATGAACCACTATGAACCAGTAAAGTGTAGGCTATCTATTATTTACATCACTTTGCTCATAAATGCCACAGCACTGTATAAACTAGTAAACTCATAAACTGTACTAATAATTGTAGTAAACTGATGGATTAGTTTAATTGTTGAAAACTAGTGCGGTATTTGGGTAATTTGTTATATTACCACTGCAACTATAGAATTACCACAACAGATTAATTTTAAACACTGTATATGGTACAAAAACACTATAGAATTTACAATAAATGACTGCATTTTTATGAGGGATGTAAGTTTTCCAAGACTGCCCTCGTGTCTGCATGTGGATATGCAGACTTAAGTTACCTGTTATGCTTTTCAGACTGAAGTACCATTGTCATGTAAATCACGTCAAAAGTAACTATTTGCAAGCCCTTTCAGCCCTCGACAAACTGATACGCGGGAGGATTTATTTGCAGCAGATTTGATGTGAGTGACACGTGTGCTCTGAAATAGTATTGTATTAGCCTATGAATTCAGCAAGAGCATGAATGCCAGGCAAACAATAAGTACCGAGGCGCTAATTTTGCACAAATATAACCGTGCGAACTCGGTCCATTTGCCAAATACGTAATTGTAGACCGACCTTGTCCATCAGCCATTGGTCGAAGCGTCCACGGAGGTATTAATTGGTTTAAAATAGTGATGAAATGTTCCTCTCGAGTGTGACCTCCATGTGGAGAGCCTGAGGTGCGAGTGAGCCGTTAGCATGCAGCTGTCGCAGAAAGGACCGGTCGCGTGCTGGAAAAGTCTCAATTGCCGCGCGCGGGAGCCAGGTAGAAGTGGCGGGAGGCGCGTGGAGAGGCCGTTTAGGGCCATCGCGCGCAATTATCGACAATCAGAGGAGAGCTTAAGACCTGTTCTCAACAATGGGCCCAGTTCGCCACGTTCATGGGGGTGAGCGCTCAAGTGCGTGCAGCTGCGCGCTCACATTCAGCACCAGCAGCAGAACTACCTCGCGCTCCGCAATTAGCAACTCCTTTCAGTTTTAACCATTTAAAAAAGCAGTATATTATCCACTGTTTTCGGTTGCGGAATCATCTCTGGGAAGGGAAGGGAAAAAAAGGGAGTGATTGATTGTCGCGTGAAGTAGGGCTGCTGAGAGCGAATTTTCATAATTGTTGTCTTAATCCCGCACGTAAAAAATGTAAATTGCCTTTAACCGCATATGAATGAGTTTGACACATGCCTTTTTGGAGCTCGATTTTTGACCAAACAATCAGAAAGGGAAAAATGAATCTCATTTACCAGTGTGCTGTGTGCACTTTCAAGACCTAATTCTTTTAGATCTTTTAGATTTTAAATCTAGAACGCATTTCCCTTACTAAAATGTGTATTTTATTTTATTTATTTATTTTTTATTTTTTGTAGATGACCAAGAACACGAGTGGATTGTGCTGAGCTGCAGGAAGAGCTTGGATGAGTTCACTGGCTATTGTCCAAGAGCAAGCACACTAGAAGAGAAGTGAGAATACTCACACACAGACAGCCCATTGTATATGGATGACATCTGAATGACACATTAATGCAGCTTTGAGATGCTGTTTTTTTCAGTACAGTTGAATAAATCAAAGCAGGTTTGTAATGGAAAACGTAAAATAAAATGTGAGGTTGCTAAAAGTGATATAAGCATATCTATAAACAACAGTTTATAGAGATAGTTCATCCAAAAAATAAACATTTACTCACCCTCAAGTTGTTCCAAACTTTTATTCAAATATTTATTTTTTTTTTTATATTTGGCTGAACACGCACAAATACAATTTGAAGATTGTTGACTTCTGTAATAGGGAAATAAATACTATTTATGTCAATAGGGATAAACAACAGCTTGGTTATACAAGTTTCTACAAATATCTTTTTTGTGTTCAACAGAAGAATAAAACTTTTACTGGCTTGGAACAATTGTTAATTTTTGGATGAAATATCCCTTCAACAAATTAATAGTTTCATTATTATATACATTATATACTGAAAAAAATATGTCTGCAAAACTGTTGCAAACAATTTATTTGTGTTGAATTTAAACAAACGAACCAAATTTAATAAAATTCAACTTAATTTGTTTGCTTAAATTCAGCCCAAATAAATTGTTTACAGCCACTTAATGTTAAAAAAATTTGTATATCCAAGGAATCATCTCTGAACAATTTTTTTCAGTGCACTTAAAAAAATGTATTGCTTGTTCAAACTACTTATTACAAATAAGCTGAAACAACACAACTCTTCATATTTCATTAGGACAACTTATTTTTTTATGTTGTTTTTTATGTTCAATCCACATAAATTTGTTAAGTGTTAACTTAATCAGTTTGTGTTGGGACAACATGAGTGAATTGTGTGGAAACCTGCATTTTTACAGTATATTCCAATGTTACATGTTCAATGTATGTCCTTTGTGTTTTTAATTATTAAGCTCAAAAAAAATGTTTGGTTGTGTAAGCCATAATGTTGGTATTCTAATATATTAACCAACCCATTTGGGTTACAAATCTTGGCTGGTATTTACCTATTTAATTAAAATTACTCTGTAATTTTACTGAACAAGAAATAGTAAAAGACTCAAAACTTTAAAATTTCTCTACTGAATTTATCTAACAAACCACAAAAAAACCAAATAAGAAAAAATATCCCTATACTTTAGCCTTTAAAAGTCATTACGTACAGTTTATTTTAAAGACAAAATGATGTTTGCCAAGGTAATAGGGGGTTTAGATGTAAACTAAATGTTACATCATTGCAGAACTCTCTCCAAGTAAATGACCGCTAACATTCAACAGCTGAATACAACTGAAAGAAACGAGATGCAAAGTCTCCTGTGTTAAAAAAAAACGTGTGTATGTCTGTGTGCTGAAGTGAAGAGAAGATACGTTTGCGAAAGATTAAGTCTTTTGAAACAGAACACGGGATACGGGATCAGTCGTGTGATGTGGACTGACAGGGAATTCCTGTATGTGATGGCGATGGAATCAGGGATGGAGTGATTATTGCACACGGTGACCCGTGAAGGCTCTGCCAGCTCCTCCATCAGTCTCTGATTGCTTCCTGCTACACTCCTGCACACACACACACGCGCGCACACACACACACACACACACACAAAACATTGGCCCAGCACAGGCACACATTAAACAGTGCCCTAAAATATCATGGAATGTAAGTGACAAAAGCCATCCGGATTTGTGGTGAAATTATCTGTAAATTATCTGTTGTGCGTTTGATATATAATAACCTGTAGAAGTCAAATGGACAATTTGCGTTTAATGGCAAACAGTGTTTCCTTACAAAAAATAAAAATTTGCTGGATGTATATTGCTATAGGGGAAAAATAAGAGACCACTTGAAAAATAGTCAAATTGTCTGATGTTATTAGGTATGGATTTGAGTAAAAAAATGATTCTGATAACATTTATTTCCTGTTTTTAAATTAATGTAATTTAGAGCTTGTTTTAACTGACAATTGGTTAAAATAACACATTTTTTCATTTGAAATCAGGGTTTTTCCCACCAAATATAGATTTTTTTTTTAACTTTAAATAATGTGTTGTCTAAAAGTGAACATAAAACTGAACATAAACTAAACATAACTGAAAACATATTTTTTTGACCAAATGTCATTTAATGCATATGGTCTAAATTATATATATATATTTTTTGAAAGTTAAGGAAAAAATGTAATATATTTATATACAATATTTTATTTATACATTTTATATATACAGTTGAAGTCAGAATTATTAGCCCCCCTTTGAATTTTCTTTCCTTTTTTTATATTTCCCAAATTATGTTTAACAGAGCAAGGACATTTTCAAAGTATGTCTGATAATATTTTTTTCTTCTGGAGAAAGTTATTTGTTTTTATTTTGGCTTGAACAAAAGCAGTTATTAATTTTTTAAAAGACATTTTAAGGTCAAAATCATTAAGCTATAAGTTACTTGGTTTTGCGATAGTCTACAAAACAAACCATCGTTGTACAATAACTCGCCTAGTTACCCTAACCTGCCTAGTTAACCTAATTAACCTGGTTAAGCCTTTAAATGTTACTTTAGGCTGTATAAAAGTGTCTTGAAAAATATCTAGTCCAATATTGCTTACTGTCATCATGGCAAAGATAAAATAAATCAGTTATTAGAAATGAGTTTTTAAAACTTATGTAGAAATGTGTTGAAGAAATCTTCTCTTCGTTAAACAGAAATTGGGGGAAAAAATAAACAAGTGGTCTAATAAATCAGGGGGGCTAATAATTCTGACTTCATTTGTGTGTGTGTGTGTGTGTGTGTAATGTGTAATGTAACATGCATACTACTAATAAAACATTTTTAAAGAAAAGGATAAATTGAATTATTTGTAATACATGCATTCTATTTTAAAATTCACTCATGTTATCTAATTATCATACATTTTATTTATATAAATGGTTATCAGTGTGATCTTAAAAATAGACATATATACAGAAAAAAGTATGACTTACATAATAATTTACTAAATATAATTGTATTCATCACTACGTTATTAGAATTTGTGAACTAAATTCTTTTATATAACAAAAAACATGATTCACAGCCAAAGAATTAGTTAATTATTTCATTTATTTATTTCCTTTTTTATCATTTTTTTTACAAAACAGACATGTGGAAGTGGGGAAAAGTGCTTACAGGCTACCTGTCATAATAAATACAAGAATGTTGAGGCCTTGTCCCCCATTCAGAACACAAGAATGCATTTCTCAAATTTAAGTTACAAATTCAGCCTTTTCCCCTGGATTCAGACCTGTACACAGCTCGTGTGCAGCGTCTCTCTCGTCACAGCTGAATACGGCACACGTGAATGAAGAAAACCATGAAACACAGACACACTCGTCTCCCACATTAAATCAGCACACTGCTTAAATAAAAATACATGTACATTTTCTTTACATGTAGCTATCTTTACATTTTACTCAAGTGCTCTTTTTAGTCTTCCTCCTCCATTCTTTTGCACAAAATACTGTTGTTTGTCATTGATAATCCCTTCATCATCGTGTTTAATAATTGTATTTGTAAAACAATCACTGCAATTATCGTTCTTTGTAGGTAAACGGATACGACAACAGTCATTGCAAAGCATCCTGAAAAAGTTTTAATATTCAAAGGTTTAGACATCCTCTGGACTCTTAAAAATATTTAACATACTTGATCTAAAATTAAACAAGTTCACTTGATTTCTAAACAAACAAACAAACAAGGTAATTGTAGCCATAATTCACAAGTTATTTTTAGGATTTATAATTTAAGGCAAGACACTGCAGGTAAAAGCTTTTTTTTTCATCCACCTGTCAATTTTGAGATTTTTTTAAAAGCTTTTTGATATTTTATTTAATTAAATTAAGTATTTATTTAACATAATGAAAAGAAAGCATCCAAAATACACTTTTAAGTGATTCTTTTATAGCACTTTGTCAAATTGGGTCTGTGTATTTCTATTTCAATACATATTTTTGCAGGATATTTTCTCAAAATCTGTTTTTCTCCAATAAATCACCTCAGCAGCTCTAACAACAATCTTCACATTCTTTCTTTTTTCATATATGCATTCTGAAGGTTTTATTGATGGGTTTGTTCATAGATATTTTTCTTTTCTGTTCAAATAATTTCTGAATTATGAAGTGAAGAAAAGACACAATGTCTTAAAATGTCTTTGTAAAATCTCGTTGACTCTAATGTGTCAAAATAATAATTATATTAATAATGAAATAAAAAAGTTCAATTTTCAGTTTCAGTGCTAGCAATATATGCAAATTAGAGTTTATTTAATAATGTCTTGTTTGCATATTTATACATACAGTAACAAAAAATGTTTGCAGTTTTTTAATGTGATCAATCAACCGTGGAAGTGTGATAAAACTAATCTGTTAATCTATTCACCTGTAGTGTCTTGCCTTAAAAACAATAACAGTTTATAGTCTTTTTAAACTCTAAAACTGTGGAAGTCTAGTTTTTAGGCGACTAAGAACACGTTTAATCATGGCACATTTCAGCGAGGGGGATAAAAAAAGAGAAAATATGTCTTACCCATTGGTCCTATGTCATTTATTCCCCATCCACATTGCGTGTGCTTTTGCCTTTTTTCAATCTACATGTTATAACACTGATGCTGGTAACTTTTTACATTCCTTTTGTTTGCATTCATAGTCTCCAAACGCTGAGTCAGAAGAGTCTAGTCTTTACAGTGTGAAGTCCAGATCCTGGTCTTAGCGAGACGCAGATTCACAGGTCACCCATGCGTGTGTTTTTTTTTTTTCCTCAACAGGTGAGTAAAATCCTGTCCAATATAGTCAGTGAGGAAACAATGTCATGTCTCTCCTTGCAGGGTTCTGAGGTCAAGAGCAGGACCTCTGGGGTGGTTGGAGGAGGTCGGGGTGAAGGGGTCAGAGGTCAGTGCGGGTGTTAGCGGCTAAGAGGAAGCTGCGGCAACGTCATGGCCTGGTGAGGGAGACTCTGTGTAGTGAGGACTGAGAACGGATGACCTGCCAAAGCAAAACATATGTTAATCCACAACTAAATCAATCACAAAAATTTAAACTTTAGGTTACAAACAGTTTTGTACGTTAGATTTTATCTTCTCAGCAACAGATAATGATTTTTACCATGATTTGCAAAGGACCCCCACTACACTACACTACACTACACTAAAAGAATGATTGCTTAATTGATTGCTTAATTTTTATGATTGTTTATATTTTTTAGTTGAATCAAATTAACTTTTCAACTTACATCAATAAAACTGACTAAAAATATTAAGTCAAACATTGTATAATTTTAAAAACATATAGGTGAAATTAATTTATTAAAATAAAGTTAGGTAACATAAAACATTTGTTAATTTCTTTACTGGGTAAAGTGTAACGATAGTTAATGCACCTAAAAAAACGTGTCATGCTTGAATGAGAACAAGACCATTTATTTATTTATTTATTTATTTATTTATTTTAGTTTACTCTATTTTGAAGCTGAACAGTTTAACATAAAAATATGAACTGATTGTCATTTTAAATCTTCATATTTTGCCAGTATCTTCAGTCTTTTAGGTTTTATTCATGTGTATTTTTAGTTATTTAATAGTAAAAATTAGGATAAACACTCTATAATGTATTTAATTGATTTAGCAAAGGCAGGTCAGAATAATTTGTTTCATTTGTTTTAAAAAAAATCTTGAGGAATGAAGAATTGTTCATTTTCTCATATTTTGACATTTTTTTTCCCCACAAAAGTTATAAAAAAACGTTATAATTAAACTCTTCACCTTGAAATTAATATGCTTCCCCTGGATATATAAAATCACTTTAGTAATTTTATTTGATGCAGACAACAAAAAGAGTTGTCTTTTTATGCAGACAAGTCTAATTTTAGTTTTTTTGGGGGGGGAAAAGTCCCTTGTTCTTACCATGTGTTACATTAAAATTACATAATAACGCTTTGGTATTTAAACATTTTTAAAATGAATTTTTTTCTGTGATTTATAGCTGAACTTTCAGCATTATTACTTCGTATTATATCTTCAGTATCACATGACCTTTCAGAAATCGTTTTAATATGCTTATTTGATGCTCAAATATGGTTTGTTCTCAATTTTTACTAATAATTATTATCCGTATGATCAATTATTTAGTTATAATTATGGTCCCACTTTATATTAAGTGTCCTTAACTACTATGTACTTACATCAAAAAATAAATACAATGTACTTACTGTGTTTATAATGTATTTGAGAACACGTGGTGCCTTTGAGTTGGGATAGAGGTTGGGTTATGGACAGGTTTGGTGGCATGGGTAGGTTTAAGGGTGGGTTAAGGTGTAAGGGATGGTTAACAGTGTATTTACAAATGTAATTACAAAAGTTAATTACAGATGTAACTACATACAGGTATTTAATCAAGCATAAGTACACAGTAAATACATGTATTTACACAATAAGTACATTGTAACAAACTATTAATTCCTATGTAAGTACATATTAGTTAAGGCCACTTAATATAAAGTGGGACCATTATTATTTCTAATGTTGGACATTTATTGCTTTTGTGGAAACTAAAAATAAAACTTTAGCAAAAGAGCATTTAAAATGTTTTTTTGTATATGATTATTGTTTATTGTATTATTTTGATTGATTGATCGATTGATTGTAAATCATACATTAAAATTTTAAAGGGTAGTGTAGAAAATGTAATCAAATACACTTTATAAATAATAATAATAACAGTGATAATAAGTATTTACTATCAAATTATAATAAAAGTACGTTGTAAAATTTTATATGATCAATTAGTCATGACATTAACTTAGTTTAATAAGATATAATGAACTAAAAACAAATGCGCTTTTAGTTCATTGTATCTTAATAAACAAAGTTAATCATGTTCTAGCTTAATTTTAGAAGTTATTCAAGCTTTTTAAGTCAATTTAACATAACATAAGTGAAATAGACTCATAAACTCATAAGGGTAATTTAAATCAACTTACAAAATTAAGGCAACCAGGGTTTTATCACATTGTATGATTTTAAGTGACACTCTGGAGTCATAATGCTGAAAATTGAGCTTTGAATAACAGAAATAAATTACATTGTATTTCAATTCTCATATAAATTCACATTTTTAATGTTTTAGTGTATTTTTATCAAATTTCTTTGTGAGTATAAAAAATTATTTTTTCATACTTAACCAGATACATTTTAGCATTATGATATCTGTTAGCATCATAGCATACATTGCTCAAAAAATGAATGGGAACACTTAAACAACACAATGTAACTCCAATTGTTAACTTAATATATTTGAGTAAATGTATAGTTTATATTTTAGTATTTACAATGTTAATTTATTCATACATCTATAATTATCAATAGCAGTCTGAAAGAGCAGTTGATCTGCAGTGCATTAGTTTCCTCTCTGTAATGAGATGATGAGGAATCACTCACTGTCGATGTATCCGTGCAGGGCCACCATGCGTGCTCTCTCAGGACTACCGAATGGAGAGTAATGCAGCTCGTCAGGCAGCGAGGGTGGCATTCGAGCCTGTGGATGAGCTTGAGGAGGGCCGTTGTGCTGAGGAGTGTGCTTTTTATGTCTCGCTCGGCAGTTTTGAAACCAGACCTGTGAAAAAAGGCAACTGACTGTAAGGATACGAATTCTCTATTTACTCTAATGGAAGAAATGAAGCATGAAAAGATTTATGTGTGGTCACCTGTATGACTCTTCTGCTCAGTCCTGTCATGTCCGCCAGTTTCTGCAGGGTTTGAGCATCAGGGTTGTTGTCCTGTGCAAACTGAGCCTGCATTACCTGTGTAGAGTTTATAGATTTTAAATCATAGGGTATGTTCAAAGTGATATATTAAAATGAAATGGGAAGTATTGTGAAATATTATTACAGTTTTGAATAACTGTTTTCTATGTGAATATATATATATATATATATATATATATATTTATGGTCCCACTTTCTATTAGTGTCCTTAACTACTATGTACTTACATCAAAAAATAAATACAACGTACTTACTGTGTTGATAATGTATTTGAGAACACTTGTGGTGCTTTTGAGTTGGGATAGAGGTTGGGTTATGTACAGGTTTAGTGGCATGGGTAGGTTTAAGGGTGGGTTAAGGTGTATAGGATGGTCAACAGTGTATTTACAAATGTAATTACAAAAGTAAATTACAGATGTAATTACATACATGTATTTATTCAAGCTTAGGTACACAGTAAATACATGTATTTACACAGTAAGTACATTGTAACAAACTATTAAATCCTGTGTAAGTACATATTAGTTAAGGCCACTTAATATAAAGTGGGACCATATATATATATATATATATATATATATATAGCTATACACACACACACACACACACACAGAATTATGAGCCCCCCTTTGATTTGTTTTTTTCTTTCTTAAATATTTCCTAAATTATGTTTAACAAAGCAAGGAAATTTACACAGTATGTCTAATAATATTTTTTTTTACTTCTGTAGAAAGTCTTATTTGATTTATTTTGACTAGAATAAAAGCAGTTTTACATTTTTTTTAAACTATTTTAAGGTCAATATCATTTGCCCCTTTAAGCTATATTATTTCGATAGTCTACAGAACAAACCATCGGTATACAATAACTTGCCTAATTACCCTAAACTGCCTAGTTAACCTAATTAACCTAGTTAAGCTTTTAAATGTCACCTTAAGCTGTATAGAAGTGTCTTGAAAAAAATATTTATATATATGATACAAACACATACAAAGAAAAAAAAACTATACAAAACAATTTTGTTACATAGATATTGGCATTTATATATAGTTTGTATCTTATACATATATATTTTATACGTATATAAACACTTTCCCAATTATATGCATGTATGTGTGTTTTTATACATAGATAATAAATATATACACCACACACATATGGCAAACCAAACGTTTATTTAGGATGCAACTATAAAAATTTAGATTTTTTTTGCCCAGCACTAAAATATTTCACAATATTACAGTTTACTGTATGTTTGATCAAAGGAATGAAGGTTTGTTTAGCATAAAAAATCATAAAAAAATATAATTATATATTGTAACATTAATATTATTTAGCATTGCTATTATATTTTAATACCTTAGCATTTACTTGCGAATTACTGTGAACGATAAAATTATTTTCCATATTCATTTTAAAACAAACAAACAAACAAATAAATTATAAATAACATTGAAAAAAATTCAAATCAAAAAGCCGATGTGTGTTCTGCTGTCTCACCTGCAGTTGTTCAGCAGTGAAGGAAGTTCGTGCTCTTTTGGCTGGTTTTGGTTGACTGTCCTGTTCCGACGGCACCGCCCCCTCCAAAGTGAGTCCACTTCCTGTACGAAACACAAAACTGCTTAGCAAATCCTTCAAGATCAATGACACGAAGCCATAACCCGCGTCTGAAACATACGCACCACTCTCAGCGGCCCGTTTCAGGTTCTCCACCATAGTGTCGTAGTGAATCCGACAGAGCACTTTTTCCTCCACCAGTCCGAACTCTTCTCCGGTGGACAGCTGCCGTTTGCAGGAGAAGCAGGCGAAGCAGGCCAGATGATAAGCGTTTCCTCTGGCTCGTCTGACCCAGTCGCTGGCGTAGATCTGCCGGCCACAGCGGGCACACTTTGTACCAAACCTACTGTGAGACAGAGAAGAGCTCAGGCATCAATACTCACTCCCTAAACCAGTTCAGTTTTGCTCACCATGGCTGTATTTATTTGATGAAGAATATTAGAATATTAGAATTTATAATAGCTCATTACTGAATGTGGTTTAAAATGTATTTAATTACTGCTCAAAGAAACATCTATTATTATTATTATTATTATTATTATTATTATTATTATTATTATTATTCATTCATTCATTCATTCATTCATTTTATTTTCGGCTTAGTCCCTTTATTAATCCGGGGTCGGTACCGCGGAATAACCGGCAACTTATCCAGCATGTTTTTACGCAGCGGATGCCCTTCCAGCTGCTACCCATTACTGGGAAACATCCATGCACTTTCATTCACACACATACACTATGGACAATTTAGCTTACCCAATTCACCTACAGCGCATGTTTTTGGACTTGTGGGGTAAAACGGAGCACTCGGAGGAAACCCATGCCAACACGGGGAGAACATGCAAACTTCACACAGAAATGCCAACTGACCCAGCCGAGACTCGAACCAGTGACATTCTTGCTGTGAGGCGATCTTGCTAACCTCTGCACCACAGCGTCACTCATTATTATTATTATTATTATTATTATTATTATTGTTATTATTATCAGTGTTGAAAACAGTTGGGCTGCTTCCCCTTTTTTATTTATCATTTTGCACATTAAATTGATCAACAGTGAAAGAAAATAGACATTTGTAATAATAAATAAATATATTTCATTTCATCAAAAAAAAATTTCAGTTTTTACAACACTTTGAAACTAAATAAAAAATTTCTCAACACTGATAATTATAAGAATTAATATTAATAATTGGGCACCAATATTAACTGATCATCCAAATTAAAAACAGGAAATCATCCAATAAGAATTTGATCTGAATTAAACTGAACTGAATTTCAGCAATGGCGTTTATGCAAAACTGAACTGAATCGCTTTTCATTTAACTAGAAGTACACCAGCATTTTACCACTACTCTTCTGTCCGCCTAATATGCTAAAATGTTCCACATTTTGATCTATCGTTATGGCTTTTTATGTCCTTTTCTTCATCTATGTGATGACCCTTTGACACAATATACAGGTACACTAAAAAAATGATACATTTTATGGTAAGTGGTGGCAAACAATTTATATGGGCTGAATTTAAACAAACAAATTGATCATTACTAAATTTAATTTGTTCATTCAGCCAATATAAATCATTTGCAACCACTTACCTTAAAAAATTGAGTAAATCCAAAAAATCATTTTTTCCAGTGTACATTGTAAAAAGCACTATAAAATAATGGATGGATAAATAAAAGATGACTTTGAAGAGTGGAGTAATGTATATTAAAATGACATTTTCAACTACATTTAATTGTGATCAAATAAATGCACCCTTTATGAGCAGAATAATCTGACTGGTAATTTAGCATAATAATGTGTAAATTACACTTATTGTCTCGAAAGTACAACATATGTTTTGAGTTGAACAGGTAGTTTTGTCTCTCTCTCGCTCTCTCTCTCTGGCAAAAGACAGAATACAGATAGACTGAACCGCGTCCAAAAGATAACCGGCAAACGTGTCAGACACGGCTGTAAAACTCTCAGCACAAACAAACCAGCAGTAATTCTCTGAGCCGCAGGTCGACAGGAAATGTCTGCTGATAAACTGTGCTGATAGGATCCATAAACTCTTGATTTTATCCAACAGTGTAATGTAATGCATGTAAGAAGTCTATTTTTAAACCACCTTCACTCTTTCTTTTGTTGGAAGGACATTTTCACGTGTTTAAATTAATAAAGGCAGTGTGGATTATATTACGTTATTTTGTACATATTATATAACGTACTTATAATAATACACACTATAGAATATTGAGAGTATATATTACATATTGGCAATATGGTGGCGCAGTGGGTAGCACAATCGCCTCACAGCAAGAAGGTCGCTGGTTCAAGCCCCTTACTGGGTCAGTTGGGATTTCTATGTGGAGTTTGCATGTTCTACCCATGTTTGCGTGGGTTTCCTCCGGGTACTCCAGTTTTCCCCACAAGTCCTAAGACGTGCTGTAGGTGAATTGGGTAAGCTAAATTGTTCATATTGTATGTGTGTTAATGAGTGTGTATTGGTGCTTTGCCAGTGATGGGTTGCAGCTGGAAAGGCATCCGCTTACATATGCAAACATATGCTGGATAAGTTGGCGGTTCATTCTGCTGTGGCGACCCCAGATTAATAAAGGGACTAAGGCGAAAATAAAATAAATGAATATTACATACTATTGTTATATAATTAAGAGTATTTTATACGTAAATATTTCAATAAATAAATGTATAATTAGTATATATATGTAATATTAAAATTCATAATATATCAATATACAATAGTAAACACAGGGTAAAGTTATATATATATATATATAATTCGTTTTCTTTTCAGCTTAGTCCCTTTTTTAATCAGCGATCGCCACAGGGGAATGAACCACCAACTTATCCAGCATATGTTTTACGCAGCGGATGCCCTTCCAGCTGCAACCCATCACTGAGCACCACCCATACACTCCCAATTTACCTATAGCGCATGTCTTTGGACTTGTGGGGGAAACTGGAGCACATGGAGGAAACTCATGCGAACATGGGGAAAACACTGTGCCACCGTGCCGCCCAATATCGTATTATTTAATACATTATTTGATATAACAGAAAAAATGTATATAAATGAAACTGTTCATAATATTTAACAGCAAAATGTTTTTAGTTTACTTTTTTTACAGTTAGTGATTATTAAAGCATTTCTGCAATAAGTAATTTTTAACCACTTTAGTGTTCATTTCAATGAAATACAATGAAAATTATAGACTAAAAATACATACTAAGTTTTTAGCACTCCTTTGTTGTTTAACAGAAAGATTTGAACACATTTTAAAACTTATTTCAAGAGTTTACGCTTAGACTTTGCTTGATAATAATAGCAGATTTGGCATGCTGTCCCGGGAAAGAACCCTGAGTTTGGAGATAATTGAGCCCAGGGCTCCCACCTGGTCAATGAGCATATAAGGGGAGTACGAGATCAGGTAGTTTTCAAGAGCTAAAAAGGGGAGATACGGGGTTACTTCTGAAAATGAAGATAAGTGAGTATCTTCAGACAAGCTTGTGAGTTTGGATTAATCCGACTTGGCTTACTAATGACTACAGATGAGAGACCAGCTGCAATTAATCATATCACATGCTCCTCTCGATATTAGTTTGTGAAATTTCACTTATTTTGTTTTTGTCATGATTGCAGTACATAATATTTACTAGTTATTCTTGTAAGATACTAGTATTTAGCTTAAAGTGAAATTTAAAGGCTTAACTAGGTTAATTAGGCAAGTCATTGGACAACTGATTTATTCTGTAGCCACTGGGGGGGGGGGGGGGTAACTTAAGGCAGCTAATAATATTGACCCTAAAAGTTCTAGAAAATCTCAAACAAAACTGCTGTTATTCCAGCCAAACTAAAAGAAAAAGCAAGGAAATTTTCACAGTGTTTTTTGTAATATTTATTCTTCTAGAAGGCTTTTTCCAGACTGAAAAATACTGTGAAAATGTCTTTGCTCTGTTAAACAGCACTTGGGAAATATTTGAAAAAGATTATAATTTCACAAGTGGGCTAATAATTTTGCTCTCAAATGTATATAAAAGTGAACACTTTATTTGCATACCACAATGTGGTTGGCCTTTTCTGTTTTGCATCTGCTTATCTAATTAGATAGTATGGCAGAACTTTATTGTTTTCTGTTGCACAAAAATAAATTGAAGATGCTATTGACGTTTATGCTGACATTACAAATTAAGCGTCACATCCTTAGCTGCCTATGATTTCTAAGTGACATCATATTCCATATTTAATCTGCAACCACATGGCCTTAGAGCTGCATATGCCACTTCTTCTCTCCGATCAACCGGACTTGATAAACAACCGTGCGGCAACACAAACCAACAGCAAGCACACTGAGTCTGCTATAATGAAGTGTTATTTTGACTGGACGGGGCTGACCGTGCCTTTTTTCTGACCCAGACATCACATTTGGGTGACCAAAGAGGGTTACAGGATTGGAGGACTAAAAGAGACTAATGCTCTACAGATGGCCAGTTTTTTTGGCCTGAATTCAACCCCCCTCCACCAGCACACCTCTGTCACTGGGAGCTCTAGTGTAAACAAAGTGTCACTCAATGCAAAGAAACACGGGATATCAAGATAGCCATGTTTCCCCCATATACGCTACTGAAGAATGATGACACCGGCCCCTGAGCCCTAAACTTGGGCCCTCCATCCACTGGAAATGACATCATAGCTCACAGGGGAGCCCCTCGGGACTCAACAAACCAGGAAACTTGTGTGTATGTATAATCATTTGTCTCTGCCAATATCCAGGATGAGCTAAGATACAAAACAAGCTGAATCGAAAAGAAAAATACGCTTTGGAAAATATTTACAGTCCACTTACGCGCAAAGTATTGACACATAAAACTGTGTTAATGCCTGAGCAAAGCATTCAAAGGGTTTTCTGTGTACCTTGCGCTTTATGTCCTGACAGCATCGTTCCAGACAAAGAGTACAGGGTTTGAGTAATGATGCATTTCAGACGTGTGTTTAGAGGAGAAACATTGTGGAACGGAGCCGTAATCTGTCATGGCAGTTCATTTACCGCAAAAACCTTTCAGAAAAGCCATAAAGATCTTAAGGGGGTTTTGTTTTTCGTTCAGATCTGCCGCACGTCTGATTGTGCGTTGTTGTGCTTATTCTGGATTTATTCCTGTCCTGCAGATCATAACTCGCCAGGGAAAAATTCCTACAGCCGCAAAGCGTTTCCCTCAGCTCCAAAAAAATTCACCTCTGGCTGGAAAAATTAAACGTGTAGACGTACAAAATTCAGTAGATTAAATTTGATATACTCCTGAAGTATTATAATCTGGGGTAAATCTCCCTCTCAGAGACTGTTGAGACTTATTAGTGGTGTTTGCTACAGTAAGCATTGATCTTACTGTTGCACATGGTGGTTTTTCCAAACCTCAAGCCATGAGTATTAAATTTGGTATGTCACACATGTAGACCCAAGGTTTTTTTGTGTAGGAACATAAATAATACAGCAAATCATGTGACTTGTTTAAGTATGCTAATCTGTTCCTTAGCTATAAAAGATCTCTCATCATCATCATGAAATTTATGAGAAAATTATACATATTAGGGATACATCAATTTGGAAATGTTTTCCAGTACTGGGTTGCAGCCGGAAGGGTATCCGCTGAGTAAAACATATGCTGGAATAGTTGGCGGTTCATTCCGCTTTGGCCCCCCTGATAATCAGCATCTAAGCCGAAGAAAAATGAATGAATGAATATATATATATATATATATATATATATATATATACATATATTGGCAAATATGGAAAACATTATTACTATATAATATATTTGGAAGCCAATATTTGTGGCTTAAATTTAAATGTTAGTTCATTTTTTTAGCCTGATCACTAAAAATGCAAACAAATTCTTTCTATTTCTAAACCATTTTATAAATTGCAACTTTCATGGCTTAAATGATTAAAAATAAGCATTTATTTTAAACCAATATGGCAGCCAAGATATCATGCCTCACAAAAATGTATGCCAAAGGATGCACTGTATGTAATCCAATGTAATTTATGTACCAGAAAAGAAACTTGTGTTTTGTCTGAATATACCTACTTCCATACTATGTAGTATGCAAATAAATAGTAAATAATGTGTCAAAATTTATTTGAAAAACAATTGGTGAAAATATCCATACGATCAACTCGATGAGATTTTGGTGTGAGCATCCAATGGACACTATCCTGGTGGAGCATTAGTGAATGACTCTTGTAGCTCTCATAATAACAACATGCCAATTTCATTCATACTTCAAAGAATAAAGTCTTTTAAAAGCAAGTTTCAAACAAATAGTACCTGACACTACACGATTTTGCATGTAGCTAATTAGTTAGTTTGGTTGCTAACTTTAACAACCTAGCATTACCACAGTTTGATCCCATCCACAGTTTTTTGGAAACCACCCAAAGAGTGCATAGGAGTACAGAAGTAAAAAGAGCTGAAAAGGTTGTTAAAAATAGTATATGCTTGTTGAGCTTAAAGTCATATTTTACCCAAAAATGAACATTTCCTCACCTCATAAACTTTGATGAATTGCTTTTTTCTGTTGAACACAAAACATGAAAATTCTGAAGAATGTTGGAAACCTGCAGATATTGACATTCATAGTATAGAAATCAATGAAACCTGATTTCTGATTGAAACAAGTGGAGGGTCAATAAATGACATTTTATTAAATAATTTCCAGAGGAGCATGTGATATGATTGATGCGTCTTGCATCATTAATCGTTGCAAGTCCAATCAAATATTATTGCTAGACCAATCAGATATATTCTAGCCTCCAATAAATAAGCCCAGTCATCCGACCTTCCTTATCTTTGTTTTGAAGAGTCCCTCCATCCACCTCATCTCCCCCTTTCCTTCTTTACCAGGGGCAGCTCTCGAGATCTACCTGTCATGCTACATAGCTGTGTGAACTCTTGAAATAATTACAGAATTAATATTTCTTCAATGAATTTTTCTTTAATCCCAAATTAAATAGAATAACTAAAGTTAAAGTCAGAATTATTAGCCCCTCAAGTTTTTTTTCATTTTAAAATATTTCTTAAATGATGTTTAACAGAGCAAGGAAATTTTCACAATATGTCTGATAATATTTTTTCTTCTGGAGAAAGTCTTATTTGTTTTATTTCGGCTAGAATAAAAGCAGTTTTTGATTTTTTAAACACCATTTTAAGGTCAAAATTTTTAGCCCCTTTAAGCTATATATTTTTTTCCAGTAGGCTACAGAACAAACCATTATTATACAAAAACTTGCATAATTACCCTAACCTGCGTAGTTAACCTAGTTAAGCCTTTAAATGTCACTTTAGGCTGCATAAAAGTGTCTTGATAAATATCTAGTCAAATATTATTCACTGTCATCATGACAAAGATAAAATAAATCAGTTATGAGAAAAGAATTATTAAAACTATTATGTTTAGAAATGTGTTGAAAATAAATCTCTCCACTGGACATAATTTGGGGAAAAAATAAACAGGGGGGCTAATAATTCTGACTTCAACTGTACACAACCCATAATGCTTTACAGAAAGTTCCACCAATCAGAGAGTTGTAGTGAACAAATCAAAACAATAGAGATCTTAAACTCCACCCTCTTTCTTAAGGTACCTTACTATCAACCTTAAAATACTTTAATAATTGTATATTTAGGCCATTACACTTTCCAACATATAAGCCAATTTCCAATAAATTTGTTATATATTGTATTTATAGCAGGGGTGCCGAAACTTTTTATTATGAAGGTCCAACAACCAAATTTTATTGAGAGCCGTGAGCAGAAGATAAATATACCAATCTATTCTACATAAAGTTTGCAATGGGTAATTTCCTAAATCACATTATATTTATAAACAAATAGAAAACATTACTTTGAATCATATTACCTAATGCGGAATATTATTTTTTTTACAATTATAGCATGCAATAAAAACACAATCACTTGTATAACTGTGTAGTTCAATGCTGAATACACTAGTCAAGCATAATCTGCTATGATTTGCTCACCAAAGCCTTTGCATTGTCCTCTATCTGTCGGGTGATAGTGTATATTTTTAACTAAATCTGATTCATTTAAACCAGGGGTCACCAATCTCGGTCCTGGAGGGCCGGTGTCCCTGCAGGGTTTAGCTCCAACTTGCTTCAACACACCTGCCTGGGTGATTCAAGTATACCAAGTAAGAGCTTGATTAGCTTGTTCAGGTGTGTTTGATTAGGGCTGGAGCTAAAATCTGCTGGACACCGGCCCTCCAGGAACAAGTTTGGTGACCACTGATTTAAACCATTTGAATAGAAATATTTAATTTCAATAAGCTTTTTTGTAGCTTAACAAAAAAAACTAACAAATAAAAGGTTACTTTAAATTTGAAATGACAATCTCTTAACCATCCTCTCTTCTCAGATATCAGAATCAATGGTTACCATGGGTCAACTTTGGCCCACAGGCTCTAGTTTGGGCATCTGTGATCTATTGCAACAAAAACCTACATTTTTAAAAATCTAAAAATCCTTCAACAAAAAGTTCCTATAGGAACAAAATATTTCCAGAACATTAATGCTTTAAAAAAGTGGTACTAATAATGCTCTCTACAGTGATGCCCCATTTAATCTGTGTAACAATACCATAATAACCATGCAGAACAGCGTAACAGCGGCTGTATAGCAACACCTAAATCAATGCACAGCAATATACTAGCAACCCCTTAACAACCACCTATGACAGTCTAGCATGCATTGTTAATAGTTTTGAATTATCCTGTAAACAGCACAATATTTATCTCTCGATTATAAATGCATACATTGAAATCTATATTCTGACACACCGTCTTAAGTCACAGTAATTTGAGCCTCTCATTTAGAATCCCGTATTTTCCACTAATATTTTTTTTTTGTTGCCCAAGCTCTGTTTATTTCTGTTTGCGTTCAAACATAAGAAACCTGTCCGCGCATATGGCCATTACAGTACGTCATCTCCTGCAAATCTAGCGATCTCCGCTCGACACAAACCCACTCGGGTTACCGCCTCACTCCATCACCCTGTCCTGATCCTTTGGTTCCTCTGATTAACAGCCTTCTCTGACTTCCTGTGTGGCCTGATGCTCGTGCCTTTGTGGCTGTTTGGTTTTAGTGTAGGTACAGTCTCCGCTTTGACCCTCGCTGCCGGTTCCACCTCCCCCTTTTGCACACAGAGCAAACCCACTTTGATTTCCTGTAATTACGCTCTATTAGAGCAGCTGTCAATCTGGTCCAGATGAGAGACTAACACCAATGAAACATATCTCCTTGTGTTTTGTTTTCCTTTTTTTGTGTAAGAAATCAATGGAGATCTTTTTCCTTTCAGGCATGTGATGGCTGTCCTATAGTTACGGAAGCACCGGTGAAATAATTCAGCTGCCGAAGAACAAATGATGAGCTTGAGCTACAGGTACAAGTCTTAATGCCTATGCCAAAACATCAACAAGTGTCAGAAGCAAGGCTCAGATCATTTACAAACCAAACTGAAGTAAATGTGCAGATGTGGGTCAAAGAGATTTTGGAGCCTGAATTAAATTACATTTATAAAAGTGATTTATATAAGAATCTACTACATTAATGTCTCAAATAATGTTTGTGAAAATAAAATGTAAAACAATAATATTCGAAAAAGAAGAAAATAGCATTTCGAATTAGTATTTAATCATTTAAATTTCTATTTTTGTGTTGAAACAAAACAACATGCTTATTCTGACCTGTACTTGTATATAAAATATTTTAAGATATAATATAAAATTATAAAATATAAAAAAGAAATGTTGAATATTTTTAAATAAAATTCAAAAGCTGATAAATGGGATGAAAAGTGGTCAAATATAAGGCTTTAAAATTAGAATTATTTAGTATTTTATGGCTGCACTGTTATCTTTAAATACAGTCTTTTGTTCTCATCAAACAGTTCTGTTCGAAATATGCCTGACAATATATTTTTGTATAATATCATTACTATATTTCGGTGTAACTATTATTTGAATGACATTTAGTGGGTGTTTTCTATTAATCTTGATTAAAAACAATCTATGTTGCTTAGAAAATATTAATTAAATTGTCAATAAACAACATATACACACACATACATATACATTGCTCAGCATAATTGAGTACACCCCATTTTGAAAATGAATATTTGTATCCATTTCTCAGTGAACATAGGCAATGTATTTTGGTGCATTTAAACAAAACAGATTTAATAAACAGAAATATTTATTAAAATAATATTTTAGTCACCCAACATATTTAGAAAGTAAAAGATAATACAATTAAATTCAAGCAAAATATTGCAAAAACAAAGTTACAACCTACAAGTTTTTCAATTTTTTTGCTTCTCTTGATTTTTCCTGTTTTATAAATTTGTATTTAATATTTTTCTATAATGTAAAAATTTGTGTGTACTAGTTTTTGTACCATTATCGTAAGTTATTTTGTTAGATAAGCTTCAGATTTGGCTTCAGTACTGACTAATTTAATGTATTTACACAAAAATAATATTGTAAAGCTTACTATGCAAAATATGAATTTAAAAGATTGATTTGTGAGGTGTGTAAAAAAAAAGCTTATATATGCCTTCTAAAACACTTGTGTTTGAAAGGATTTGATAACAGGGATGTTTCAGTGGCAGCGGAGAAAAACAAACGTTCAATGCACTTCACATTACTGAAGTCGACTCCACAAGCTCGGAGCTATTACTGTCTCTTTTACAAGGCAAACACGAATACATTACAGAGTCAATCACTATTCTGCTGCCATGTAGATTGACTTGATTCCATGTCAGAACTGTTAGCTGTATATACTGTCATGAATAACACTCATAATTTGGAAAATCAATCGAAAATTAAATACCACTGTTCCTTTAAAGGAGCAAAATATCATTTAGAGCAAACATAATCACATTAATCATTCTTAAAGTTTATTTTAATTTTATTTTTAAATTGTATTTATTTGTTTTTAGGTAAATATTACATGCTACAAATCACATTTCGATTATTTGAATTTATTTTGAATTCTAGTTTAATTTTATATTAATGTACAAGCTACAAATCACATGAAAATAAAGTTTAAATGTCAATTACAATAAAAGTGTCATTTTAATTTTAATTTAAAGTCTGGTTTAATTTAATAAAAAATATCACAAGCTTAAAAAAATCTAGTTTCAAGGTTAGTTTGAAGAAATGTGAATACTGTTGGCATATTTGTAATATTTAATGCCAATGAAAAATTCCTGTAAAAAAATGTTTTTGCTTTGAATTTTTAGGTTAAATCAATTTAACCGTACAAGTCATTGCAATTATATTAAACTGAATCAGAAAATAAAACCAAAGCTCATATAACTACAAGAATGACATGGTTAACTTATTTTGATAATTTCAAGTAGCATAAAAACATGACTTGTTGATCGTATTATTTTGAAAAAAAATCTGTATGATCTTGTCTATTTTATTTATATAGCTTTCTCAAAGAATTCCAACATTTCAGATTTGTGCTGTATTGAACCACATCTAACCATCCTAGCAATATATTTTCATCCCTCATAAAATCAACAACACAATCCCCTATAAAGTTAGTTTTTTTATGCATTTAGATGTCTTTTCCACATGCAGACTCTTTAAATATTCCTCTTATAATCTCTCTTTCGGTTAAACAGCCGCTGAGAGATCCCGACGCTCCAGACTCACTGAAGATCAAGGCATTGATGCACCATCTTGTGGAGCATCTCTTCAGATTATTGGCCTTAACGTAGAAAACAAACCCTCTCCTGCAACACGGCATTGACTTTAAAGGGGCCAGTCATTCACACTGACGGGCAATAAGCAGGGAAGGCTGGCCAATATCACACTGCTATTCACATGCCTCGCTGAGTGCTCTGCAATCATGCCATATCACAGCCCTTCTACCCTCAATGCAATTTCACAACTTCCCTGTCGGATCTCTCTCAATCCATGCCTTCCCATAGCACTGGATGAGATGGAATTGTTTGACTTGTGTTTGATTTCTAACACTGTTCAATTGCATGCAAGGGAACTGAACTCAACTGATAATCAAGTAATCAAGTACTATTTAGACCTCTCATTATATTACTATTGGCATCAGTTTCTTTTGTGGGCAGCAAAAGGAATTTTTTTCAGTAATTTAGTGTGGTAAATTTCAAATTAAATGGTCAGGAAATGTTGTGCAGCCTAATATTACTTAATAAGAAACAATTTTTAAAACAAACTACTAGCCAAAAATGTACTTAGATAAAATTATTTGCATGGTTTATTATTAAACCTGTTTAATTACGCAGGAGAAGACAATTATGGAATCTCAGACTTTATTTCTAATGAATAAATCATTTAGTTATAAACCCGAAACACTTAATAAATCGATTGTCTTTAATTATTAGGCTTTATCAGGTTTTGCGGATGCTTTAAATAGTTAAAAGCGTTAATTTAACTCACTAGAAAGTTAAATTAAATCACTAAATTATAAACAGCGTTTTCTGAAATAATATATATTTGTTTAGGTAAGAATTAGATTGATACTTTTTGACGAAATCACATTTTTAAGCGCTAAAGCTTAAGACGCAACACTCGCGCAACGTATTTTCAATTATATACTTCAGTAGTAAACTATTTCGTGTATGTGCACGCCAGATATTTTTAAGGACAGAAAGTGAAAAACTTACCCTACCTGAAATAATCCATTTTACAGAAGATTTCCTTGTTTTTAATATAGCAGCTGCTGTGCTGGCGTAGTGAAGTCCTGCAGACGGAACATTCCAGACACCTCACGTGCCAGATCAGATTATTAACCTGAAACAAACATTATAGCGTATGTGAAAATTAATAATAATAATAATAATAATAACAACAATAATAATAATAATAAGAAGAAGAAGAAGAAGACGAAGAAGAAGAAGAAGAATAGAGTACTGGTAATAATAATAATATTGAAATTAAAATAGGACACTAAAAAATGCACAGTGCAAGTCTAATTGCATTTTTTACCAATTCGTAGCATTTGCTTTATACAACAATGTAATTAACCATTCTAAAAATAACTCGATTTATTTAATCTTAAAATCACTGGCAAAATATATATATATATATATATGTGACAGGCTTCTAATGAAAATATTTGTTTAGAATTAAGTTGTAATTAAAAATTAGAATCTTTTAAATATTTGTAATAATTCTTTAAAATTGTGTGGTTAAATTAAGTAAATGCTTGCATTATATTATTAAATTAAAAGCGAAAACAATATAAAACGGTATATTTTAATAATGTTAATCAAAATTACAAACATCTTAAATTAAATTATTAGAACTTGAAATGTAATACATTTCAAGTATGTTTAGAGACACGTATGATATTTTTCTTTTACAGCAATATTTGTTTAAATATTCTGTTAAAAAGCTTTTAATTTTAATGTTATTACTTGAATTTTTTGGTGATATATTTTAAGACCCTCAAACCCCATAAACTAAGAAAGAGGAAAAAGGAAAGTATCTAAGAAGGTCCGTCTTAACTAAACTGTAATAAAAACACACGCACTGTTTTATTAGTTTCCGCAAAAAAAGCAAAACACACTCGGACTGATCGAGCTGTAATCATCCTCACGCGCAACACACGCACTTCCTGAAAAACAAGCAGCCCGAGCAGAGCACATGATGCACGCGAGCCGGAGCACACAGATCCTGTCAACATCAGCACTATAGAAGACTGCAAATGTTTAGGAAACAAAATGAAGCCAACTACCTTGTTAATTTTTCCCGAAAAGCGTCAAAACGCAGAAAAGAAAATCTGTGTGTAGAAATATCCATTTCATAATTAACCTAATTTCCTCTTCTCGTTATTTTAATGTTTCTCTGACCTAACCAAAATACAGCATGTGTATATTACTAAATATGTTTTAGTTCTGTCAAAATGCATTTTTCATTGATATGATTTGATCTAGACTTTATTTGTTATACATTTAAAAACATACACTAAAACAATTAGGAGCATTTTACTCATGTTATATAAGGACATAGGCTACTCTAATGTAGCATTTTATTTCTGCTTTTTGTATTCGTTATTTATTGATTAGAATTATCAAGAATTTTGAATAGTTTATCAACTTTAAGATTAAGTCGCAAATGATTTTTAAGCCTTTTTAAAAATCTATAAAAATAGCAGCATTGTGTTAGACCACAAACACGCATGTTAATACGCACAAAATAATTAATAATAACAAGCAATCCAAATCATAATAAGGAACAGTTTAGGCATAGCTTAATAAATCATTTTAACTAAAGCCTACATGATTTTGTTTGCGAATTTTCCAGAACTCAAATACTCCATTCGCTTTAAAACACTAATATTATTTAACACCACAGTTCAGTAGTCACAGGAGATTACACACACACTCACAAACAGTCGTACCTTGAGCAGGTATCTGTCCAGGATCTCCAGTCCGCAGCTCGCGCACACGTTCTTCCCGGTGGACGGCACGGAGGAGGCGGTGGACGTGGGCGAGCAGATGGACGGAGTTGAGGGCGGACTGGGCGAGGAGCGCGTGTCGTCTTTCTCCATATTAGATCTATGAGATTCCCCGTCAGACTGTGACTGCAAGAGAGGCATCGAAAATACGTCATAAACTTGACACTTTACATAAACATGACATTTATAAATATGACGTTTAGAATTTTTTTTGTTGACAAGAATATTTTGTAAACCGAAAAATTAAACCCGCTAAAACGGAAACCGTCAAATGCAAGTTGACTTGCATGATTCAATGAGAGGAAACAAATCAGATTGTAAAACACAGCCGCTTTTTTTCAAACATGGTTTTATTTTTGGACATTTCCCATTTGGAAGGGCAAGAAAAAAATAGAATATACTGGTAAAGAATGTTTTTTTTTACTCATCAAGTAGCTGTATGAATTCATAAAATGGTCGTGTCAGAATGAACGGGTGTTTTACAACATAATTAACTTTTGTATAATTAACCATTATGCAAAAGGATATTGACATTTTAAAAAGTGCAGTCAATTTGAAATAGACATCCAAGAACTCTCAAATAATGTATTCCATCAACAAGAGTGTTGTGTTTTGCGTGAAGGCCTGTCGTGCAAAAGCAAAACGCACCGATCTCGCAGAACCTCGTTAAATCCTCACTCACCATCGCTTGTCCGTGTTGTCCGTCCACGCAGCGTGATGCTCCCGGTGTGCTGTGCGAATCTGGAGAGATCACCTACAACACAGTCAAGCCACAGTGCTCCATATCAGGCACGTTCTCGGTTCTATATATGCGTCCAAAAACAATAAAAGCGCTTTTAACTGTGTATTGAGAGCCTCGCGACAAAAGCCCCTGTTTTTAATGAAGCGATTTCAATTTGGATTGATTTTTTCCCCACACTTAACCCGTGCCTCTTCCCATAATCGTATTTCCACGCAATCCAGGGAGCTGAAAAAAATAAACTACCTGCAATTACAAATAGCTTGAAATGCTCGCGATAAGAGGACCCCAGAGTGTCAATTTCAACTGCCAATCAGGGAAAGCAACGGGCCACCCAAAGAATTGCAAATTTGATTTTTAATGGCAGTAATTAAAATCTAATTTTTCCTCTGCAGACTTGGCATGTGAAGAGGATGGACCGCAAATCACACTATTCAGAAGAGATCCTGATTCTCATGACATCACTTTAAGGTGAAGATGTTACAGGCTGCAGGAGATGCACAGAGGACTTTCACATCCAGCAACATGTTGGCGACTTCTTACTTTTTTTGTTGCATGCAATTAAATAGATAATAGCTAACAAGCATAAACGGTTTATAAATGTCTTACCTGTTTTGAGGGAATTCCTTCGGATAGAAACTGATTTCCCTCTGAAAGAGGGGCCAGAGCTTCATTTTTCCAATACATTTGACGGCGTAACTTCAGATGTTTTTAAGCTGCATCAAGTGTTTTTTGCAAAATGTTCATCCCATGCGCCTTTTTCGGATAAATTCGGTTTGATATAACAGCAATTCGTCGTTTTAATTCGTCGTTTCCTTCGGTGTAAGTCAGTCAATAATCTCTATACAAACGTCTTCACATTCGTGGTAGCTCAGTTAACCGACAGCGGACACGCCAAACGCGAGCGGTTCGTCGGGACGCCTTATTTAGAACCGTTTGCAGGATATTTCCTACTTTTTCCCTCTTTTGGGATGCAGTTGCTTGAGTACAGGAAGTGGAGAAAATTGAGGGGCTGGCAGGTTTTGCTCCTGCTCTCCTCATAGGCAGTCAGAGCACAGCCTACCTTCTGAAAGTTTACAGATCAGAGGGGAGGGAAGAGATGTGGCCTGAGTATGTACAGTATCGACATTTTGTGATGCTGAAAGCTTGCTTGGTGTTTGGGTTTTAATTTACGAAATAGCGATTCAAAAACTATAGTCGGCTCGGCTGATCAATATTTATTCGAGCTTTTAGCGGATGTTAAATAAAAAACACGAGTACAAGGAATTTAATATATTGAAACATTTACAAAGAAATTGCAAATAATTTTAAGAATATTTCGGCACATTTTGATTAATAAATTGGCTTACAAAATAATGCACGGTCATCCAGTTAATTGAATTTAAAATGCATAACACCATGAACTATTGTTAATTTAAAATATATATTAAACCATTTTCTCTTTTAAAATTATTTATAATAAAACAAGAAAATAGTCACGTAGCTCATCTCAATTAGGCTACATCATATTCACCACATCATATTCGACGAGTTATTTTTATCACGTACAATAATGGTTTTGTAGCAATGCCATATATAAACCTTTTTGGTTTCTTAAGGAACATTTTAGAGTTTTAAAAGAACAGTTTATCTGTTAATGTGAATAACATTTCTGCAAAAACAATAAAAATAAAAATTATAGAATGAAATTTGTTTCATATTCCTCGTGGAACCATAGAAGCCAATAAATAACCTCTATTGTTAGGTAGGTTTTGTTTGAATTGGTTGTTCTATATAGTTAGATCTGATAATAATGTACTGCAAAGTTCAGTGTCAACAAAACATTTAATTCTAAGGTATTTCTTTTTATACGCGTTTTAAAATGATTTTGATTTGTCTGTTTACTTTGATTTTCCAAGAACTCAAGTCAAGCAACATATATTCAAATAACCTATACGTTAATATATCACATTAAGCATGCATATAGGCTAAATTCGTATATTTTGCTGTCGGCTATGCATGTCATCACTACTTGGAATTGCTTCAAAACGGGCATGTGAGATAAAATATAAGGTGGATTGTTTTTTTTTCCTATTTTTCAATCCTGAAAAAAGCATATACTATTATGTGGGGGAGATACAGAGAGGGAAAGTACATTTCCATCATATGCAGGCAGAGAGAGCGAATACAGCATTTTCTCTTAAGCAACAATTTTATTATGAATGAAAAAAAACATTTCGTGTGTTGTGCATGTGCACAAGATCATATAAAGGAGAGCGTTCGGGTTCAATGGGAACAGAAGTTACAAAGCCCATATTACTAGTCTTTTATTTGAATTTGAAGTATTGCTCCTCGAGGTTTGATTTGAATAAAACAAGAAAAATTGTCACGTAGCTTATATCAATTACATCATATTCATCGTAGAATATATTCGACGAGGTATTTTTATAAGGTACAAACGAAATGGTGATGTCGAATCATCATATAAAATGACAGTATATAAAAGTCAAATATTTATTTCCGTTAAAGTGAAAATCCGGTTATAACGCATGCTAACTCGAATTTAACACAAGAGCAGATTTCATTCATATGAAAACATTAAAATTGCGTTTAATTGATATTGAAATAATGAAATTGTATTTACTATAAAAGGGAATTTATTATAAGCTGTAGAGCTGTTTGTAACTGACTTAACAATAGCAGCGCTCATACCTTACTCTCATTTAATAAACATTTTTCTATCAAATGAACGCACATGAAACCAGTTCGGACACCTCACAGGAGGTCCTTTCGTTTATTTTTAACATGACAGGAGCAAAAATCTGTCAAAATACCTGAATATTTACACTGTTGATGACATCCACTGTCGTGATGTTCCTCGTAATAAAAGCCCTTTTCACTTTAGACTTAAAAGGCAGGTTATTGATACTTAAATAATGCAGAATATTGTGCTTTCTTAACGCATACAAACCCAACAGTGTAACAAAGAATGATAGATTGAGTAGTATGTCGATGTATAAGACTCACAACACACAACACCACTTTCACAATCAGTACATGGGGCAGTTTACAAGTGATTATATAAAACAGACAAACTGGAAGGAAGATTGAGAAAAGAGTGTAAACTGAGATTGTTTGAAAAGGTGCAGAACTCTTAAAGAGACAGTGCAGCCAAAAAAAGAAACACTCTGTCATCATTTATTCACCCTTTTGTGCCAAATTTTAAAATTGGACCCCACTGATAAACATTTATCAAAATATCCTCTTAGGATATTTTGGAACAACATGAAGGCGAGTAAACGATAGCAGAATTTTCCATTCGACCGAAGTATCCCTTTAAACCCTGAAGAACTGAAATAACTTGGGCAACATTATTATAAAAAAAAAATTACTAGAATTGTGTGGTTAGATTCTGTTTACACCAGTCATCGTTTTCAGTAAAAAGACTGAGAATCAGAACAACACTACAAATCAAAGGTGTTCAACTGCTTCTTCACATAATATATTACAGTCTCACACTGGCCAAGAGACAAGAACAGCTTATCTGCGCACATCTCAGTTCGTTTAATGCAGCGGCACTTGGCCAGTTTTTGGAGAGGTCATCTCCTGTGTTTGCGAAAATGCTTATGGTAGGGTTGAGACCTCTTTTCTCTTTTATCGGGGGGTTTGTTATAGGTGTAAGCAGAGGGTCCGGAATAGTCATCTGGGTTTTCTTCCATCATCTGCAGCTTTGCTTCGATGGCACGGATCTTTGCATTAACACTAGGAAAGAGAGAAAAGGAAAGAGCATTAACCTTCTGATCCAGTCCAATTTAGCCACTTAGTCAATTTGACCAAGGCCCTTTGAAAAAGAATGGATGATAATAAAAACAATAATATAAGTGTAGCTGAATAGGGAGAAACTTAAAACAAGAAATAAGGAAAAATGGGTGGAAACTGAGAGGTTTCAAGCGGTTATGTCCCTAACCTCAGTGAGGTTGGCAGATCCTCAGCTTCACTGGATGAAGGCTCTAAACTGGCTGGCATATTTTTTTCTCCTCGGAAGGGTTCAAATCTCTGAATGACAACAAACACACACACGGGATGAATACAAGACAGTCTGGGAGACAGTATGGACAACTGGGCTTTTAGTAACTCATATGGTTGCTTTAGAGATCAGAAAAAACAAGAGCTGGCTGCTTATTAGTCATATGCTCCCTTGGAAATGTGTGGGAAAAGCCAGGCTACGCCATGTCATAAACATTTATTTCACTCAAAAATGTCCCTCCAACAACTCTTGTGATCGTGAGGATGATGATAACTTGTGGGAATCTGTGGAAAATAAAAACAAATAGTGATTAGAAAAGCGGTAAAATAATACTAAAAACATTTAGCATTTTTTGTTACATATATATATATATATATATATATATATATATATATATATATATATATACACACACACACACACACACACACACACACACACACACACACACACACACACACACACACACACACACACACACAGTTGAAGTCAGAATTATTAGCCCCCCTGAATTATTAGACCACTTGCTTACTTTTTTCCCCAACTTCTGTTTGATGGAGAGACGTTTTTTTCAACACATTTCTAAACATAATAGTTTAAATAACTCATTTCTAATAATTGACTTATTTTATCTTTGCCATGATGACAGTAAATAATATTTGACTAGATATTTTTCAAGACACTTATATACAGCTTAAAGTGACATTTAAAGGCTTAACCAGGTTAATTAGGTTAACTAGGAAGGTAAAGGTAATTAGGTAAGTTATTGTATAACGATGGTTTGGTCTGTTGACTTTGTCCTATGTTGCCTGACTAAAATATTTTCAGGCATACTGTGAAAATTTCTTTGTTCTATTAAACATCATTTGGAAAATATTTAAAAAAAGATAAAAAAAAAAAATTAAAGGGGGCTAATAATTCTGACTTCAACTGTATATATATTAGGGTTGAAATGGATCACGGTCAATCTGTGATTCGTCTGGATTACAACCCACAGTTCAGAACACACATGACCAGTGGAATAATACATTTTTTTTAGGCTATTACTACATTTGTAATGATTGCGTCATTCAAATCAAATGTAAAAAAAAGCATTTAGGCTTTCCTGTAAAATGTAATGATGATAGAAGAAGTTGTGTTAGGTTGTTCGGGATGTGGTGGGTCTTATTGAAGCTGTTTTCTGTCATCACTTGTTTAGCCTGCAGGAATGCATTCAATGTAAGCTGCATGATTAATAATTAAAAGATCGGGATCTCAACACCCACAAAACATATTATAAGTGATGGTGATTTGCATGTTTATTAATCCTTCGAATTGCTGCATTCAAATATGAAAACACAAAAATCAGGAAAGAGATTGAGTCCTTAGTCTATTGAGTTAGTTATGAAGTTACAGTCAAAAATCACAGAAGTACTGGGATTACAGTTTATAGTAATAACCACTGATGTTTATGGTAAAGATTAAAATCACCATTATACGCATTTAACGACACTCAAATATGAAAGTTGTAGGCAGCAATACCATTATTTAACCAATCATCAAGCCATCAAAAATAAGCCACTGAATAATTCTTTCAGCAATGAAACATGAAGTTTTATGAGTGAATAACTGAATCATTTATTGAGAATGTGACTAAAAATAAATATTGTACAAATTACGATTTTAGATTTATACATTTACCGTTATCAGCAACAGAAGGAGTAAGAGTGATTTTTTCACAGAACTGAATATTTAACATTTTTATTCAGCCGATTATTTCTTCATTTTGTTTGTAATAAAATTACAAGCTCTAAGCTCTGTTTGTTAGAACCAAAAGTGTCTTGCAGTGCTGTTTTTGTAATAAATGGAAAGCAAATTAGATTTGTCTCCTCCCATTTTTGATCTGAAAAATGGTCCGATCCATGACTAAAAAATCATAATGTGTTCCGAACCATTAGGTTTGTGATCCATTACACCGCTAATATATATATATAATAATTATAATTATATATATATATATATATATATATATATATATATATATATATATATATATATATATATATATATATATATATATATATATATATATATATATATATATATATATATATATATATATATATATATATATATATATAATTATAATTAAATATACGGAATTTAATATATGGAAAGCAAATTAGATTTGTCTCCTCCCATTTTTGATCTGAAAAATGGTCCGATCCATGACTAAAAAATCATAATGTGTTCCGAACCATTAGGTTTGTGATCCATTACACCGCTAATATATATATATAATAATTATAATTATATATATATATATATATAATTATAATTAAATATATATATATATAAATATATAGCTTCCAGTTCATGATGGCGAATACATATGTCTAATTAATTCTTTATGGTTCATGCTTTATAACTTGCTTTATAAAATGTCAACTTAATGAAATTAGTTCATTTGTGCAAAAAGTGGATAGGCACTAATACACTATGCTAGAATAAATTATAATGCATTGGATGATAAAACAGGATTACAGAATGACTACCTCAAAATATCAGATTTAATTGCACCATGGCAACGCAGTGGTGCAGTAGGTAGTGCTGTTGCCTCATAGCAAGAAGATCGCTGGTTCAAGCCTCGGCTGGGTCAGTTGGTGCTTCTGTGTGGAGTTTGCATGTTCTCCCGTGGGTATGCTCCGGGTGCTCCGGTTTCCCCCACAGTCCAAAGACATGCGGTACAGCTGAATTGGGCAGGCTGAATTGTCTGTAGTGTATGAGTGTGAATGAGTGTGTATGGATGTTTCCTAGAAATGGGTTGCAGCAGGAAGGGCATCCACTGCGTAAAACATATGCTGGATAAGTTGGCGGTTCATTCCGCTGTGGCGAACCCAGTTTAATAAAGGGACTAAGCCGAAAAGAAAATGAATGAATGAACGTTGCACCATCAGACTGCACAACCCCATTATACAACCAAAGTGACATCCCCAACTACTGACCTTATTATTATTCATTTACCTTATACTTAAAAACAATAAAAGCTTAAGTTTTTGCAGCATTTACAAAAAACACACAAAAAACATTTGATGTACTTGTATTCATTATTACAATTTCTCATATAAATATTTTTAAGAGCGAATCAGGCTTTAAATGGCACCAGTGGTATAAACACCACACACACTCCCAGCCTGTGATCACATTCAACAGCCTCACACTGAACACACTGAGCATTGGTGGAGGTGCTAGAGAGGACCTGGACTCAGATCTCTCTGCAGATCCATGTTGTCAACAACTGTGTGCTGTTGACCTTGACCTCTGCCTGGTGTCCCCTTCCCCTCAGACGGGGAGGAGCAGAGGGGTGGGATTCTCCACCATACAGGATTTCCTCACTCCCTGCTGCAGCTGCCTATTGTTAAGGAGCAGGGCAACCTGAGGAGCACTCTATAGCTCAACTAGAAGTCTATTTAATGGACTTCATGGTCCATTTTGTTGTTCCAGCACCCAGAAGTTCCATTGAGCAACAACAGAGGCATTAATTATAGCCTGGGATTGGCTAAAGTTACTGTGCACATTATATGTATACATTGTCCAGTGTAAAACAATGAGAGTGGTGGACTTGCAAAACTTGCAACCATGATGCTAAGGGTTTTAGGTCATTGTTATGTGGTTACTAAAGTGTTGTTTTGAGTGGTTACTGGGTGGTCCTAATGGTCCAAGTCTAAACAGCCCACCTTTCAGGGACTGTTCATTTGTAGACTTGTAGGCCTCATTTGCACATGCAATTTAGATGTTCACATTTTCGCCAATCTGATCACAAGAGGACAACTTACATGTGTAAATGAGGTCTAAAATATTTTTCGTTTGACCACTTTTGAGCACTTCCAGAGGAAATGTTTTTAATCCCTTTGCTTTCATATTAGGGCTGCACTATATATGGTTTTAGCATCGATATTGCAATGTGCACATCTGCAATAGTCACATCACAGGATCTGCAGTGGTGGAAAGAGTCCAGAAATATCACGCTTAATTACTTGTCTAAAAATGTAGTGCAATTAGAGGAAAAGTATCTGTTGTAAATATTACTTAAAGTATGAGTAAAAAACCTTTCAAAAGTACTCAAGAGTAGTGAGTACTACGCTGTAAAATGTTGATGCATTTACATCTAATTTGTGGATGTGTCTAAACGTAACATTCTGTAGTGCATTTATTTATTGCCCAGCAGGCACACAATATCACAAGACATTAATATTAGGTTAGATTAGGTCATGACACCAGGTGACCAAAATTCAGTGTCTAGACAGTGTCTAAAGACATTATTTTGATGTCCAACATCTTTAACTCTTCTTGATTAGATTATTGTGATGTTCTGTTTACTTGTCTGAACAAATCCTTTATGGAGCGATTGCAAGTTGTGCAGAATTTAGCGGCGAGGCTTTTAACTAACACCAGTAGGAGGTCACACATTACACCTGTGCTTAAGGCACTTCACTGGTTTCCTATTAGTTTTAGAGTTCATTTTAAGATTCTGGTCATTGCATATAGAACTCTGCATGGTTAAGCACCCCTATATATTCAAGATCTTTTTATCAGTCACTCAAATAGCCGGTCTCTGAGGCCTTCTGACTGTGCATTCTGTGTGGTGGCCCCACGGCTCTGAAACTCTCTCCCGATAGCACTGAGAACTCTGGGATCAGTTGAACTTTTTAAAAAGCATTTAAACACACACCTTTTTGGTCAAGCTTTTAATTAACAGTATTAGGCAATGTGATGGGCAATGTCTAAGGCCAGTGCTGTTGCATATACCACAGTTCTCTTTCGCGTATCTTGTCAGTAGCTCAGATGGTTATGATACAATGTAGCTTTTCCAATAGTTCAGCTATACTTTAGATACATTGTAGTTATAATAGTAACTCAGCTACTTTTGATACATTGTAGCAGGGGCGTTGCTAGACATAAAGCTCTACTGGGGCACAACCCCCCTCAAAAAAGATATGCCGTTGCACATAGAGAGTAACATCTTTATTCTGGGATTACCATTCTTAATAAATACACTTGCATATGATTTTCAATCCAGATGGATGGGGCAACCATTACTGCATCCAAAATGGTGAAAAGCCTTGGAGTAACGATTGATGACCAACTAAACTTCTATGACACATTTCTAAATCTGCTCGATCGTGCAGATTCGCACTCTATAACATCAGAAAGATCCGACCCTTCTTATCTGAACATGCAGCTCAACTCCTTGTTCAAGCTCTTGTTCTCTCCAAACTGGATTACTGCAACTCTCTACTAGCTGGGCTTCCAGCTAACTCTATCAAGCCTCTTCAGCTGCTCCAGAACGCAGCAGCACGAGTGGTCTTCAATGAACCTAAACGAGCACATGTCACTCCGCTGCTAGTCCGTTTGCACTGGCTGCCAGTTGCTGCTCGCATCAAATTCAAAGCTCTGATGTTTGCCTACAAAGTGACTTCTGGCCTTGCTCCCTCTTATCTCCTCTCACTTCTGCAGATCTATGTGCCCTCCAGAAACTTGCGTTTTGTGAATGAACGTCGCCTCGTGGTTCCATCCCAAAGAGGGAAGAAATCACTTTCGCGAACGCTCATGCTCAATCTGCCCAGTTGGTGGAATGAACTCCCTAACTGCATCAGAACAGCAGAGTCACTCGCTATTTTCAAGAAACGACTAAAAACTCAACTATTTAGTCTCCACTTCACTTCCTAATCTGCAATTGCCTCTCTGGATATCACACTAACTGTACCCAAAAAAAAAAAAAAAAAAAAGTACTAATACTTTCCTTCTTAGACTTTACAGACCTGAAACTTGCCTATAGCACTTATTCATTGTTGCTCTTATAGTTGTGTAAGTTGCTTCCGTGTCCTCATTTGTAAGTCGCTTTGGATAAAAGCATCTGCTAAATGACTAAATGTAAATGTAAATATGAAGCAATTAATATCTCAAAGTATTTACTGGGGCACGTGCCCCAGTAAATTGAGTCTAGCGCCGCCCTCTTCCCATTTCCGGGTTTCTCAGTAGCTGAAATCATTATAATTGGGTAAATTTAGAGCGCAGTGAATGGAAAAAATGCAACAATTTTTTTTACAATCCTATTTGCTGAAATAATAAAAGAAAAATACCATGATGGTGTTATCAAGACTTTCGGAAAAAGGGGAAAATATTGTTGGACTGATGATGGCTGCCAGAGGAGAGAATTATATCAAATTTACTTTCAGCCCCATAGACACTGCATAACAAACACCTTACATAAGCAGTAATTCGTTTTTTGTAATTTGATGCAAAGATCACATAGTATATTCATAAATGCATATAAATGTCAAAGTTTTTAAGATTATGACCAGGTGTCATAACTGTCTTGTGAAAAGGGTCCAAGGTCTGAAGTGCAACAGCATTGTCTAACAAGATCACATACTACAGTTATGTATTACAGCCATTTTCTGTATTGATAAATCACACATCTCATGGATATACATTCATTTATTAGTTATTTTGTAAATAATATTTTTCAAGTAACAACAGTTGAAAATTCAACCTATAAAGTATTACAACCGTTGACAATTAACCTGAAGTGAGAATGTTATGTAAGAGACTCAATAAAATTACTTACTAAATCAAGCCATATATCACTGTTTTGAGAATAAATGCTTCCGTGGGCTTAATCTAAGTTCATTATTTTGATATTGCAATGCTACAGTTGCTGCAGTTTTGTGCTCTGACTCTTGACAGTCTGGGTAATTGAAAAAACATGTGTAATAAAGCATTACGCTTTGACATTATAATTGTATTGCACTGTTTAAAGTGCCAGACATTTTTCTTAACATTAAGGTTTATTCACATTTTTGCAAAAGTAGCTTCAATGTAACTTAAAGATATTATTCGTAGTGCAGCTAGCCTCTTTTGATAAGTATCTACAGTTTTAGAGTAGCTTCTCCAACACTGCTTGAGCAATAAATACATACCTTTAAAAATTCATTCAATTATTCGGTCACACTTTACAATAAGGTTCATTAGTTAAGTAATGCATTTACTAACATGAACAAACATTGAACAATACATTTACTACAGTATTTATTCATGGTAATAAACATTAGTTAATGAAAATACAGTTGTTCGTTGTTAGTTCATTTTAACTCATGGTGCATTAACTAATGTTATCAAGCATAGACTTGAATGTTAATAATCCATTAGTAAATGTTCAAATATGATTAATAAATGCTGTACATGTGTTGTTCATGATTAGTTCGTGTTAGTAAATGCATTAACTAATGAACCTTATTGTAAAGAGTTACCAATTATTAATTTGAAAACATGCATAAGAATTACTTTAGAACAGCATTTTTGTAACAGAAAAGATGCAAAAGTCACAGTAAAGATGTCTATAATGTTACTGTCATTTTTATAGTTTTATTTTTCATAATTTTTATATTTTTCAGCATCTATCTATTAAGCCATATAGACCTACATTTCTGTTGTCCAAAATACCAGCATCTGCCTTAAAAAAATGAAATCCAATCTGTGCAAGGCCCACGATCTTCTAGTCTTAAAATATGGCATTCCTTCAATAGAAGTCTACAAGTCTTTTGGGTTTTGTCCTGTTTTATCATCCATTTATACATTTTTGTCATCCATAAAGTGCAGAAAAAGTTTCGTAGAGACTTGAGCAAACATCAGGTCTATAATATAAGTTACAGTCATGTTTGCCATAGCAAATAGCATGACATATACGATACCCACCTTTACCTGTGCATGAGCCCACCGTACCACTAACTTCTTAGAAAGTGCCAACTTCCCGTTCAGACACTGAATAGCCCGCTCAGCCTCCTGCGATGGACAGAAATCAGTGCTGATTATCACACTTAGACCCAATCAAAATTCTGTTTTTGTAGCAAAATTTATAGATTTTTATTTTAACATTTTTAAAGCATGACGGTAAAACATGAACACGGTTATGAATGTAATTAAACATTAACTTGTTTGTTGTAAAAATTTGTAATAATGACAAAAATACTCATTTGTGCATCTCCTTACTTCCGTATGCAGCCATGCTGCTGTTGTAGATGGTATATTCTGGGAAATTTCCGTACCCCTTGGTAGGGTTAAGGGTAGAATTGGGATTGGGCCGCCTTAATCACAATCATGCATTTGCCTCTAAATATCACTATACTACTATAACACTATCAAGAGTAAATTATTAGTTCACATTTAAAGCCCTCTATTTGTCCACCTCGAAGACAGTGTTTTTATTTGGCATCCTCTGTTTTTTGGCAGTTGCTAGAAGTATGGTGTAATGATAGGGAACAATAATGGCTGATGATGGATCACTAGTTTTCCAGGCTCTTATGAAGGGTGTGAACGGGATCTGTAAACACACATTTCCCCTTCAACAACACTCTTGGGACTGCCTCACATTACACTCTAGAGAGCAACAGTGCCTTATCTCCATCAGCTTTCTGGGTGCCTTTTGAGGACTTGTGTTACATTACTAGATCAAAACGAACACTTCCTTTGGTATTTTGGGTAATTCTGTAAAGAAGAACAAACATAACCTCTTTGGTGTGGAAGTTGACGAAGCAGTATCCTCTTGGCTGGCCCTCCAGAGGACCCGACTTGTGAAACAGAAAGTCAAACTGCTTTACTTTCCCGAACTTCTCCAGAAGCTTCACTAGGTGATACCTGCAGGAACACAAAGTCAAGGGCTTTTAGTTTAAGGTATGTTTGCGAGAATAACTGCAACTAATCAACACTATAATAGCTGTACTGCCAAAGAATAAAACATGAGTAATAACATCCACAAGAAAATAATGCATGTCACGGAACCATAATTCTTTTTTAGCAAGGCTTGATCAGAGTGACAGGTCTCTTTACACCTTTTTAGTCGCTGTAAATCTTTTATTCACACAATACAAAGGATACAGCAGGGGGACAATGAGGATATAAAATAGCGGAAGACCGAATTCCCTCAAGAGTTTAATTTAAGACAAACAATTACAACAAGAGCAGCTTCTATAACCTGCTGTCCGGTAAAACCCAATATAAGACATGGGAAATCGCTACGGTTCCTCTTAAGCCCCTTATTATTGGCAAAGAAAGTAGCTATTGCTTGTTACTAAAAATTGGTCCATACAATGAAGGTTGATGGGCTCCAATGTTGTTTTACATCTCAATGGCTTTCACTGAATAGAAGAAAAAAAGGTTGTTAAACGTTGTTAAAAATATCTTCATTGGCATTCCACGTTGGACAGGAAAGAAATAGGATGGAATGGTCAGCACGGTCCAACGGTTTAATGTTGAAAGATGTCAACAAGAAACTGCACTGAAACTCATTCTGTCTTTCCAATTACACAATACTTTTCAACAAAAAGAGGGATGCATTCCTCACAAGTGGATTTGATTAAGAAAAGTGGGAGTTTTATACAACAATGGATCAGCTGGCTGGGTTTGGTTCAAGAATGAAAATGAAAGTCTTCAATTGAAAGCAACTGGTCAATTCTTTAATACAGGAGATCATTACAGGCTACCAGTGGTGTAAAGTAACAAATTAGAAATACTCAAATTACTGTAATTGAGTAGATTAGTAAAATGTGTGCTTTTACTTCTCCTTTGAGTCAATTTTTAGTGCAGTATCGGTACTTTTACTCCACTACTTTCCTTCAACCTGCAGTCACTACTTTATTAATATTTTTCGATGGGGAATAAAAAAAAAAAAAAATCAGTCCTGAGATTCCTGACCAATCAAATCGCACATAGAAGGTATATCACATCATAATGAAGACATGGGCGATTAATAATTGCAGCATAAAAAGTGTCTAAGAAGGTGTCTAAAATCTTTACACACATCGACCCAGAGACTGTTTAGATGCAGGTAACTGATGAGAAAATGACGGATGTTTACTGTATGATGACCGTAATGGCCTCAAACACCAAGCAGGCATAAGATGTCAACATGACATCAGATTGATGTTGTACCCCAACGTCATGGAGACGTTGAATTTTGTTTGGAAATGAAAATCGAGTTTACATCAGAACCCAACATCAGGCAGACGTCAATGTCCAACCTAAAATCAACCAAATATCTAAACATCTAATGATTTTACAGCTTGACGTTGTGTATTTACCACTATGTTGGATTTTGATTGCCTTACCTGACTAAATAAAGTCAGAATTTAATGTCAAAATGGCGTTGGTTTGAGATGTTGGCTCGACGTTGAATTTTGGTCACTTTCCATCACAACCATAAATCAACCAAATATCATCATCATTTGATGTTGTTTATTGGAATTTAAAATAACGTTGTCTTTAGATGTTGACTAGACACTGAATTTTGGTCAACTGACATCACAACCTAAATCTAACCTAAATGTAACATTTAGTTATTGCCTGCCGGGCTACAGAATGTTATGTTCAATATAGTGTTATAATAAATATAACACTACAGAATGTTATGTTCACACACATCCACAAATTAGTCACTACTCTTCGAAAGAGCTACTTTTTATTCATACTTTGAGTAGAATTTACAACAGATACTTTTACCGTACGTGCACTACATATTTAGGCAAGTAATGATACTTTTACTTAAATATGATTTTTCAGTACTCTTCCCACCACTGCGGGCTACATTAAAAATAATGAACTTCACACTGAACCTGTGCTATTCAAACAAAGAGAGAGCAGTACAAATAGAATTCTTCAAACAACTATGTACACAGCATTTGAGAGCAGTCAAGCTTGCAGTCTGTACATAAAAGAACATGTTTGCAGGTATCCTTGCTTCTGCATGTTCGACCTGTACATCATCCAAACTGTTCACATTTAATGTGACTTGATGCTGCATGAATTTGATTTTTTTCATCTCTATCATTTTTGTAACTGGCATTGTAATGAAGAAAAGCTTCATTACAAGCATACAATTCCAAACATTTGAAAAACCTTCAAGTCAGAAGGTGCCACTAGTGTGAAAACATGAAGGGGGAAAAACAGGAAAAAGGTATGACCCTCATGACGGTTCTGTCAATGTCAGCAAGGCTTTATCTTGTATGCTCTTACCTCCCTTTAATTCTATAATTATGAAGAATCTTGCAGAAACTACCATCAGTATTATTTCCAATAATTCATTTTGAGTGATGAATGTGGCAACACTTGGGTGTCTGTCAAACCAAATTCTTAAGATTCAGTAATGCTTATCAGTAAGGCATCAAAGCATTTCCTTCAGCTGAGAAAGCAAACAAGCTGAGCGTCAGGAACGTGCTAAGACTCAGGATAAACAACAATACATTTGGGCAACTTCTTGCAATATTGTTGTTCTTCCAGCATGACAGACGGAGCAGTTTGGGAGTAGCCTCCTACTCAAAGATGTAGAGATGCCTGGGATTTCTTTATTGTTTTGGATAGTTGAGGTTATTTTTAATCCTGGAAAGGTAGGAACGCAGACAGAACTGGGGGTCCTGGCTTCAGAATTAATGTTTTCCCCTCCTCTCCCAGGAGCTTTTCTCCAAGTAGTATTTCGCACTTTCCCAGCCACCACCCTCTCAGGCTTGGGCCATGGGATCTTCCTGACTTGCTGCAGATTGAAGAATTGATAGTGTCCTGATTCAAAGGGACAACATGTAGATTTTTTTTCAGATCACAATGCATATCCCCAAAGGGCCATTAAATGTGTAGAGGAGAGGAAAGGGTCCATCCAAGGGGATTGGACCATTTTGTGTAAGTGTTGACATGAGCCAAGCATGTCATTTGTTTGGGCCAAAGATGTCGGAGCACTGCCCACCCACCTGCAGTGTCTCCCATTTCAATATTGCCTGAGAAAGACTTTGAGAAAGCACAGAATTAAGAAAAAGAGGCATGGATATCAAGGTCAAGGAGGGATTCCAATAGACACGTGTCTATATCGGATGACTGGAAGGTGTGGCCTAAGGCCGGTATCTTTTTTCTCCTCTGCGTCCCGTCAGATAGAGCCTCCTGTTCTCTGCTGCCCACGTAACCGACAATGCAAAACAGAACACCAAACGCACAAACAACCTGCGGCACATGGTAGATCCATCACCGGCCCCAAATGGGCCCCAGTGGAGCATGGACAGGTCAATATGTCAGGCTGTTATTACGACAGCAGCCCCTGCTTTGTTTGAACGGGCCGTGTCTGTCACAGGCCTAAGCTGTGGGAAACCAACCCTGAAAGAAAAAGTGTTTGTATGTTTGTGTCAGAGAGACTGTGTGTGCATGACAGGGTGGAGATCTGTGAATGCTGACGGATGTTTTCATTAGATGGAAAACACAAAGAAGTGTTTTCAACACCATCCTCATCGTTGGTTGATCGATCTTAAGTAACTGCCAGAAAGCCAATCAAAACATTATAAAAGTATATAGTCTAATTTTTTGAGGTTTGAATCTTTCCATATTTCCAGAGAAACAGATTTAAACTGGGGTTGGGCGATGTTGACCAATTTGACATCATGCTACAATGTCGTAGGTGGCGGTGAATTATGTTTTATGAAAAACTAATTCATAACAAGTTAATTATTTGTAAGAGTACTAATACCATTTCAACTACCTGACCTGCATGGTTTTTGTTTTACCCATAACCAAATCATAAATAAAGATAAGTTACACACAAATTACCACCTGTCAATATCTTTTTCAGTGGGACTCAGGCATGAATAGGCAGAGTGATCCGTGTTGTTATAATGGCATCAACAAACTTGGTTGGTAAAAAAGGTGCACAACCAACAGCAACCAACCAACAGTATCTGAGGTTTTCGCTAAAATTACTAAACACAAGCGTGAAAGCAAAAGATTGAAGCAGTGTACTGAGGCTGTGACATTATAGATTCAAAAGACAGAAGAGTTGTTAGATTGAGACCAGATTAATTACCTTTAACATATAATAATTAAAATTATAATAAGGGGGCGAAGCAGTGGCGCAGTAGGTAGTGCTGTCGCCTCACAGCAAGAAGGTCGCTGGTTTGAGCCTTGGCTCAGTTGGCGTTTCTGTGTGGAGTTTGCATGTTCTCCCTGCGTTCGCGTGGGTTTCCTTTGGGTGCTCCGGTTTCCCCCACAGTCCATTGGGTACATGCGGTACAGGTGAATTGGGTAGGCTAAATTGTCCGTCGTGTATGAGTGTGTGTGTGTGGATGTTTCCCAGAGATGGGTTGCGGCTGAAGGGCATCCGGTGTGTAAAAGCTTGCTGGATAAGTTGGCGGTTCATTCCTCTGTGGCGACCCCGGATTAATAAAGGGACTAAGCCGACTAAGCCAATGAATGAATGAACTATAATAAGACATGATCCAGTGGTACATCCTTGATAAACTGTCCGATGTGCACTGCTCTCTGGGGCCCAAGTGTATTTTGCGATGCGGGCAGGGCGAGGTGGAGGATCGCGATGCCAGCTCAGCATAGTAATGTCTAATTAACCCTAATTTACACATTTACAGAGTTACAAAAAAACTGAAGGAGATCAGAACTTTTGTGAAAAATTACAAACATAGCAAGTTATTGCATAAAATACTGTAACTTAGAAGGTGCAACGTCTTGATTATACTGTATGTCTGCCAAAGTATTGAAATGGGATGAAGTTTGTAGCATACCGAGAATTCAAACTACTTTGCTGCTGTTAGTACTCTTACTGTTGTTTAGTGATATTTAACTAGCTGGGTTAGGGGCTTAAAGTTTCATTGTGA